TGGTTTTGCAACCCTACCTAGTGTAAAGCTATCACCGGGCCTGCCTGATCAAATATGGGCACGACGGCTTACATGGTCCCCACAAGTTGAGTCGTCACAGGGACCTTTCCGGCCAGCTGTCACTCATGCACAAGTCCTGCTAAGTTTGCCGATGTCGGCGGTTTCGGGAAAGCAATGACCTTTGCGTGCTTACGCGTAGACGGACGCCTATACGCCGCGTTATCTGCTGCACTCTACCCTATCATCGGTTGACTGATAGAGCCGGACGTGGCGCTGGCCAATAAGGGAGCGTGGCTGTCATTGGAGACCTCTTCCTCGGAAATTCAGCGCACTCCACGCTACGCAGGGTTAGCAGTAGTTATCTCAAGGGTTCCCAACTGACGAGGGGGACTGGGAGTCAGGACTTTCTGGTACTCATGTTGATGTGGTGTGTCTAGGACCTCCTCAGCGGCGCCCGACGCGCGTTCTGCATGACACATTTAGGCGATCTATTTAACTCTGACAGTGACTCCGCCCACAAACAGGTTCGATTGCCTTGACTTTGTCATGTCATCGGAACATGGTGGATGTGGGTCGTGAGAGCGAGGTGGATGCAGCCGCAGTCCGCTTCAGGGGAAACAGACGTTTCGCGCGAATCGCGGATACGCCCACTTTGGTGGACGTTGTTGCCGATGACGGTCGAACTATCGAGTTACACGACACGTTCCACCCTGAGCGGAAGCCAGCTACGAATTAACCAGCCTCTTGGTTTCGACAAATAAGCAGTTGCCGGTCATGGAGATTTAATGCTTCCAGGTGTGTGTGGACAATGATCTGAAAAAAATTGTCTACTTCTTAAAAAAGGTCAGATGTGATAACTCCACAGCAGAATTGCTGTTTTAATTGGTGCTGCGGAGTCCCACGAGCTTTTTCGACCTTGCAAAATTACCATTTGTGCTAGCGAAAACAAGCATAGTAACAACAAGCAGTCATTGGCCGAAGATTTTGACTGTATTTCGACTGACGGCTCTGCCCACCCAACAAAGTACTGAAACACTTGGTATCACTGATTGATGGAAGTCCGGAGAACCATGTCCGTAGCCTAAGTTTGATGTCTGGGGCACATTGCCTATCGTCAGTGGAGACTGTTTTTACTATATTGCGTCCCCGACTCTTTAATCTTTGCAGAGGTGTTTCTCTGTTCGTTGGAAAAACGAAACTCTTAGCCACAGCACCTGTTCTGCCGCTCAAGAACTCGGTTACGGATGTTAAACTTCCTAATTCCTACAAAGGTGTGGAAGTTCTTTTGGGGTTCTGAAGAGTTGGGGGTAGCATCGTCGCTAAAATGGCCTCTCAGTAGAGGAGCACAATTGTTCTCTGCTTCTTGTCGGGAGTTGCAGTACTCACTACATTTTCAGAGGCTCCGCCAGAAGGTTATTCTAGAGACGGTGGCTTACTTCTAATCATCATCAATCTAGTCACTGCCTCTTCACGTAGACACCCATACCCTGATACAAAGTGGTTAGCGCAGACATCGCTGACTTCTAATTTCGGGCTTTGAGATTACCAAAGTGAGTCATACGGCGCCAGTGGTATAGCAGTTATTTTTAGGGCACCGACTTGATCTGCTCTGTGCTCGATCTCAACATTCCAGTCGTAACTATCTGCGCGTTCTCAGTTTATAGAGACCTTATCACTGTTTTCACGAACTCTGCTTCTGAAGCCGGCTTGGGCCTAGATTATGTGTTTTCAGGTCATAATGAGTCGTTGAGCCAATTCATGACATACGGCATAAAATAACAGCGACCGTTAAGAATTTCTTATGCGCCTTGGAGTTAGGTCTAAGCATTTTCGGTAAGCTCGAAGCAATATTTCCCCGGGATGAATTTGAAGGAAGTATAGTCAGCAGAATTTATTGGAGCCAGTAAATTTCTTGACGGCTTATCAACTGCAGCCTGGAAGATGGTTCAATAAGGCCATCGGTTTTTCATAAGGATACATAGAAGGTCAATACCTACACTTCCTGAACTTTGTGTCAATACAACGAAAGCGAAATCTGGCCTACACTCTTTTCCAAAGAGCGAGAAACATTTTTTCTATTGAGACATTGGCTGCTGAAACTTATTGTCTCAAAACAGCCCCGCTTAAACGTGGATATCCAACATTTTTCATCCACAAGTACAGTAACACCTTACGGCCTAAATTGACAGAGCAATCAATTCCAAAAAGCCCGTTGTAATATCCTTATCCTTTACGGGTGACAGCATTTCAAATATAATTAAGCGGCGATTGAGATGTGCATTGGAAGAACATACAACGCAGTCGAACTCATATTCAGCAGTCCCACTACGGCCATCCCAATTCCACGGGCAAAGGATGCCTTGCCATTGCACTCCACGTCAAACTGTGTTTACGAATTCACATGCACTTGTGGATGCAAGTACATTGGGCGAATGCAAAAGCCATTGGCAGCCAGGTCAGTTGAGCGCCTGCCTAAATGCCTTCTAACGTAGGAGAATAAAATTCCACGGTCCTCTATCACAGAGCACCTCCTAGATAACGGTCATTCCGTTGACCCTAAAACATCTTTTCAAATATTAATTTCGGCATGAACAACTCGGATACTGCGCTACTTGAAGGCAGCCTGCATACAGCGGGAGAAACCCAACCTATACAAAGAGTTAGACCACGTTGTCAACCTCAGCTTACCCTGGTGAATCTCGGTCCTTTGATTTGCGCAACTCTTCTGCGTGCTAACTTCCCCGTTTTCTTTTCAAAGTTGCGTTTTCAAGTTACCATTGTATGCAGTATGTTATTACCGACAAAGTCAAGCGAGACTGGAATGGCCATTTCTCGCTTATTAGCTGTCATCAGCCAGTCATACCCAACCCCGAAGTGTAGAACACCGGAGGCTCGAACTCGCGACCTGTTAGTTAAAAGTCCACTCCTCTAGTCACTGGGCCACGAGCCCGTTGCCCCTTACCATTGTATTGACAAGTCTGATTGCAGTATACGATGACCTTGCTGTTTTATATTAATCTTATCCGTGAAAGTTCAAATCTCTGTGTCTTTCTCATGTGTTATCTCTGTTATGAAATGACAGGTTGCAGTTGACAAGCCGTTGCGAAATTTATTGGCTCCAAAAAAGTCTGCTGTCTGGGCTTGCTTCAAATTTTCAGTAAAGTAATTTTGAGGCTTCTGTGGGGAGATCTTTCTCCGCTGTTGGAGTCTAGTGTACTTTTTTGCAGGTCCAACCATGGTGTGTTTTCCTGCTTCTTTCGAGAACGACTAGCCACCAGCACTGAAACTTGGTCCACAGATCTCCACTTGACCTGAGGTAGGCGAGTCAATGATCTGCACGTAGAAACGGTTCACTGCTTCATGCGTGTGCACGTAGTCGCCGTGGCTGTTTAGGATTAGTGCAACCTGCACGCTTGACTCGGTTTGCATTTGAAACATGCTTGGCTCTCGGACACTGCACATAACGTGGTTTTGACTGTTGCTGAAGCTGTAAACGGTTTGTGGGCGGCAGAATGCCTCCTGACTCATGCCAAGTAAACGTTGGCGTTCGAAGGTCGGTCGCCGGTGGCTGAGGTTCAGCTGCTGAATCTAACGGTGGACAGACGAATCTGCTTTCTGCCTATCACTGCTAGTGGAGGGATGCAGGTTATAAGTTCGTGGATCAACACTTACCCGAAGCGAGGATTTGTGTTACTTTTTGGATATATGTAGAGTTACTTTCATAGGCAGATGGGTATTACTGACAAAGAAAAGGGCGACGTAAATGGCCATTTCTGACTTATTAACCGTCGTCAGCCAGTCATAACCAATCCAGGAACACCTGGAGCTCGATCCCGCGCCTGTTAGTTAGAAGTCCAACGCCTCTAACCGCTGAGCCACGGGCTCGTTGTCGCGTCGGTTCCGATCGGGAATGTACAATGGCAAAGGGAGGCTCACCGATCGTTCTTACGGAACTCAGTCGTCCCGTTGTGCCTTACGGGCTCCCTCTCGAGCCCAACCAGCGTGGACTTTTAACTAACAGGTCGCGAGTTTGAGCCTCGGGTGTTTCACACTTCGGGGTTGGGTATGACTGGCTGACGACGGCTAATAAGCCAGAAATGGCCATTCCAGTCTCCATTGTCTTTGTCGGTTATACCATTTTGCTTATATCATGCGCCACTGTGCGGCTGCTGGTTGTGCTCGAGAGAGCCTGTAAGGCACAACTGGACGCGTGGTTTCCGTAAAACGATTAGTGAGCGCCCCTCTACCATTTTTATTTATATTTTTTACATATTTATATTTATTTATATTTGTAACTTATATTTATAAATTCCATCCCAAATAATAATTATTGCCTGGGTATAAAAAAGGGTAAATTACACCTCAAAATGTACACTTTTCCTTAATAGAAGAACTCGGAAACATCTGCGTGGGAAAAAGACATTTTTCATAACACACAAGGTTGATAATTAAAGTGCTCAATAGTCAGGACCTCAGAATTGGCCCGCTGCCTTTTAATCACGTATAATTTCTTATACTTATTTAAGATTATTTAGATTCATATCCAAATACTGAGCGTATTGTGCGGATAGCAGTTTATTCCGGCTGACGACGACCGATAAGCCAGAAATAGCCATCCTCGTTCCCCTTGTCTAGTCTCTACGCGATTGCCTGCGAGGGTTCTAGACTGAGCCTAGAGGTGCAACGCGACAAACACGTCCCGTGGTCTGATCTGTGAACGCCTTTCTCGCTGGAGTTCACTGATATTAATCCTAAGTTGCAATGGTACGAGCATGTCCCCTAACTTGACCGGTGAACTTACTTTCCACGACAGTGAATATTCCCTATCGCAACTGCCCTATTGACGCGTGCCTCATGCGAGTGCATCGCTTTTAGAAATTCGCTGGGTGAGAGGTTGCATGTGTGTGTAAGGCGTCTGCATCGCCACCTGGGATTTACAGTCTGGTCACCTCACTGCTAACTGATGGTCATTCATTCAAGCGGGGAACGGAGTTCTCAGTATGGCCACATCAAGTCCGGTAGGCGAGATTTTGTAGACAACTTTTGTTACCTATCGGAATGGTCAAGTCTTTGTAAGCTTGTTGGTGGGCCTTCCTCCGGCGGTGGCCAGTATTGCCGTTCACAACCGCCAGAACAGCGGCCCCTTTTCCAACTGTTGGAACACTGGACTTAAAGCTCTACCACCAAGGAATTCACCTTCGAAGCCCAGGTTATCCAGACCCCAGCATACATATGACCTACTGACATCGATCTATAAGTCAGTAGTTACCATCCTAGTCTCCTTTGCATTTTTGGCACCGCTACATGCATATATATATATGGGCAGAACAGGATAATCGACAAAGACAAGAGAAATTGAAATGACCATTTCCGGCTGATTGGCCGTCGCCAGCCAGCCATACCTAACCACGAAGTGTGGGACACCTAAGGCTCGACCCCGAGACCTGTTGGTTAGAAGCCAGAAATGTGCTTTTCAGTCTGCCTTGTTTTTGTCGGCGATATTGTATATATATATATATATATATATATCAGGAATGGGCGCACACCGATCTATTGGCTTCACAAAGCAAACAAGCTCCGTATGTGTGGCAAAGGTCACGAACAGGCAACCAATTACCAGGCCGAAGTCGGCCAAGTCATAATAGCAGCGAGGAGGGACGACAGAGAATGCGGGTAGATTGATACAGCACTGTTTCGGGCTTATTCTGCCTTCATTCAGCCAATCATAACCCTGACCACCAGCAGTTGGAACCAGAAACACAAACATGCGCACAGACGCACCTGGCGCAGTCGGTCCACCACTGGGGTCTACCAGATGGGTCATAAGCACTAGTAGTAGACATAGATGAGATGGTACCGACAAAGAAAAGGGAGACCGGAATGGCCATTTCTGGCTTATTAGGCTGTGCGACTGCCTGCGAGGGTTCTAGTATGAGCCCCAAGGCACAACGGAACGAGCATGTTCCGTAACCTGATCGGTGAGCGCCCACTATCATAATTAATAGTCACGATCACAACCGACAGGACAACGGGCCCGTGGCTCAATGGTAGAGCGTTTAACTCCATGGCCAAAATCCCGGGTTCGAATCTCAAGTGATCCACACTTGGGGTTGGGTATGACTGGCTGATGACGGCTAATAAGCCAGAAATGGCCATTCCGGTCTCCCTTGTCTTTGTCGGTACCATCTCATCTATGTCTACTACAAGTCGCTGTGCGACTGCCTGCGAGGGTTCTAGTATGAGTCCCAAGGCACAACGGAACGTATATGGATTTTTACTAGTCGCTATGCTTCCCTCTGCGAGTGCCCATGGTTGAACTCTAAAGGGCAACGGATAGAGTATGACCAGTAAGATGATTGTGAACGTCACATGCATGGGAGCACGCTGATCCAGTGCCTTCCGTTAGTAAGGTGGCTCCGAATGAGTTGTTCACAACCTACCTGGCGGACCCCGTCTGTTGGCTAACCGCACATCTTCGTTTTTATTTTTAGATTAATTAAGGTAAAATAATCTCGAAACACTGCAGCATCCATCCGCCCTCATTCCTCTTTTTACATCTCCTCTGATACAGTGTGTTGACCCAGGAGGCTCTTCGACCTGAATCCGTCTAACCATGGTTTTTCGCCCTTGCACTAGGTTCCAAAGTAAGGCGAGACCTAAAAAAGCAAGTGGGTTTCAAAGGTCAAAACAGACCGCCAAATCTTCAGGTGGCACCATGGTGTCACCATGTGGACTTTCATCGTCGTCGGCCGCGATCTTTGGTCCAGATGGCCTGGTCTTTGTTCACTGAGGCCAGTACGATGCTGTTTCGTAACATCCCGACCGTTTTTGCCAGAAAAAAACTTGTCAGATGAGCGCAACCTTCCCAGACCATTTTATTTGTGCGCGTTATTGGAGTCTTTGCCGATGCTTCGGCCCAGTATCTGCCGACGCCTGACGATTTTTCCGCTATAGAGGCCTGCGTGTTCCATTTTACGGCCGGTTTCCTTGTCGATCGTTTCTTTGTACATAGAGAATATGGTGGATGCGGAAGTGTGATCCAGCAAAGTATTTTGTCTTTACGCGTCCACTTCAACGCACATTCGCCAGGAATAGCTCAGTTATCCGTAGAAAGTCCCCGAGGAGTTACTATCCCTACTCTTCTTTGGACGATGTTTAGCTTTGGACGTTAGTTGAATTGCTTGTCAGATAACCAATCACAGCCGCCCACGTCTGTGAACCACGAAAAGAACTCGCTGGTTCTTGAAAAGAAACGCCGTTGCCTCCGCCATAAGCCTCCATATTTTAGCTGATTTTCTAACAAAGCTCATAGTATGCAAACTCCAAATGTTCACGATTTGCTTAATTTGCTCTAATGTTTGTTCATAGTAATACGAGAGCAACAGAGTCTGTCGGTTTGGGGTCTTTCGCCAAGCTACTTTACAACGTCCATTCTCGTTCATCAGAGTCCCCTGGGATTGGTTAAGTGTTCGACCTTAAATTCATCGCCCTTCAGGTGATTTAGTAAATACATGTTCCCAGAAGACCAAGAGTACATCCTTGATAGTCCTACATACTTCGTTTGCTGACTTATATGCCCTGTAAGCGAGGTGATCCTTCTAAGTCTGAAAAAAAGGGGCCTCTCTACTACGCATCTTTTCTATTTCCTCATTGTCATCTGCGCTCTTTCTGGATCGTATTTTAAATAGCACTTGTAAAGCCTCTAAATGTCCTTTGCAGTCACATTTAGATCTACGGCACTGGTCGTTGATTGGCTGATGATACCCTTTATCCGTCACTTGCTCCTTTGATGTTGCTGCTGTCGTCACCACAGACGAGTCCAAAAGCTCAGTAAAACAAATGAATGGCTTTGCTGCCCGATTAGCGTCTTTTTTCCCTATTCATACATCCACCTGCAAGTCGAACATCCGCCTCCGGTCGTGAATTAAAAAACTCGGAGAGTTTGAGGAAATTTTGTTGGAAAAAAACTTTCGGCCTTTATTGCCCATCATAAGCCTTGACCATTAACGGCGCTTTGAGCAGCTGGAACTAAGTCGTCGAGCACATTCAAAGTCGGTGCCAGTTGCTGCTCCTTCGATGGTTCAGATGGTCCTGTGATGCGGACTACAGCATTCTAGAGTCCCCTCAAAACTGACGACTCGTAAGATGCGCTGAACCAACACAGGAGCCAGATCAGACTACGACATGCGTTAACCAGGCTCCGCTAAGTCCGTGCATCCCGTAATAATATTGGGGCGTCTGGGCACGCCTAGGCGCAGGTACTTGCGCCCAATCCTAGCACCAGCTCGAACAGTAAACTGGTCCATGGGAGAGGGAGGAGGGGGTTCGGTCGACTATGGGGAATCTATCCCAGCGACACTCAAGGACATTCCTCACTATACAAAATCTGATCAAGCTCTTCGAAACGTCAGCACCTAAATAAACCCGTTCCGGTGAGCCCGTCATTTTCTTCAAATCATTAACGCGTATCCCTCAACGTTGTGAATCTAAATCTGACTAGCTGATAAAATATCGCTGTGTGCCAGAAGCCGTGGCGATCCATTGCGGGCCAACTCGGTCATCCTCTCAGGACGAATAGTCAAGTCGCACTGGCCTCTCCTTAATGTAACCTCTACTTCACTTCCAATCTGATGGGATCCAAGCCGCCCATTCTTCCCCTGAAAATCTGGTTCATCGTGCGCGGGTCAGATCGAGTTTGGCGCTCGTAGAGGAACTGTTTTACCCTTTCAGTCAATGCGCGGACTTCGCCTCCGGTCGTTCTAACTTGGTTTTGTCACTGTGCCCAGCGGGGAGAGGAAGGAGAGAGTGCAACAAATGCTGCGCAGGTCGGCTACCCCTACAAACCAATCCACGCGCAAGTTGTCGTCCTGCATCTGGCAGTTCGTCCATCGATTCCTATGATGCCCACCGTATGCTCCCCAAAGGAGGGTGAACGCAGAGACGGTAACTTGCGCGCGGTTTGGATTATAGTGACGGCAGACTTGCACTGTATCTACCGTGCTCTCTCTTCCCTAGCCCTGGATGGGCTAGGAGCTGCAGAGTCGTCTGCGACAGTGATGTTGCTAGTGGTGGCCACGATAGTGGAAGGGGAGTTGGTAGTGTGGGATATAGGAAAGTTGGCTGGTGTTCAAAGGGTGTCAATATTATGGTGAATTCAACTGTTATGAATACGCAAAGTGGCCGGCTTTATGGTAAAGCCCCTTGCCTCCAGTATCAGCTACGCCTATCGTTTATTCTCATTTCAAGCTCCCCATCACGTTATTCGGGAGTGCTTCATTGATGCATCCCTGTTATATCTGTGGTGTTGACTGTAAGCGCTCATCATTTTCGGCCCAGATTAACGTTTGTGTTCTTACCAGAGTCGCCAGTAGGCAGTTCTACGGGGATATCCACATTCACTCGTGTCTACTCACTGTCTGCGGCAAACTGCATCGTAGAGTTTGCTGCAACCTCGATTGTCAGATGAGCAATAAGCAGAACCGCGTGCGATGCGATCGGAGCGTAAGAAGAAAAGAATGGCTCCGCTAAACCGATGTGTCGAACTCAATCTCGCATATGAGGCTCAGAGCAGGGCAAAAATATCCTGACAGTTGATTGTTAAGATTTGCAGATCGACAAAATGTCACAGAGAGTTGAGTTAGGGAGTAATAGAGGAGTGTAAATATTCGGTCATATCTAGTGGGAATGACATTGACGGCACCTATTTCGACCAGTAAAACAGGGGAAGGTGCGTAGAACGTGTGCTGCTAGGTCCGTGATGAGGCAAACTTTTCGCCGTCAAGAACGCTTTCGGAGCCCTGAAAACAGAATTCAGAATTAATTATATATCGATTTAAGGAAAAAGCCAGAAAGGAATCAGATTCCTATTTCCTACTAAAAGTTATAGATTTAACAATAATGCATAGGATAGGGGAGGAGGGGGGGCACTCACCGATAGGTTTTGTGGAACTCACTCGTCCCGTTGCCCCTTACCGCCTCTCTCTCGAGCCAAACCAGCAGCCGCACAATGGCGCATGATGCAGGCAGAATGTTATTGCCGACAAAAACAAGGGAGACCGGAATGGCCATTTCTGGCTCATTAGTCGTCCTCAGCCAGTCATGCCCAACTCCAAGGTGTGGAACAACCGAGGCTCGATCCAGCGGCCTGTTAATTAAAAGTCCAACGCCCCTAACCACTGAGCCACGGGTTCGTTGTCCTGTCGGGTTCGATCGGGAATGTATAATGGTAGAGTGGGCCGCTGACCGACCGTTCTTAGGGCGGGCCACACTTCGGGGACGACGGTTAATCAGTCGAAAATGGCAATTGCAGTCTCCCTTGTCTCTGTCGGTAATGACATTGTAATAATACATATACTGCTTTTAAATATGATTTAATTCTGCAAGTTCCGTTTATCTTGAATCTCGACGTGTTGGAACAATTGATCATGCGAAGGACAAATGTTTGTCTTCATCGAAACATAATTTCTTTACCTGTCCTCCTTGGTTTCTGTTGTTTTAGGCGTGTTCAAGTTCTCCAGAGTCATCAAGTGCTGAGAGCTGTTCGCAATTTCAGCAGAAGTATGTTGATATTTGTCGCCAGTGCGATGAATATCGCGATTTGGTGGAAGCTCAGGCAGATACGATTAGTCAACTTCGATCGCAAATAATGGTAAGATGGCAGTCCCTTGCTGGTGGAGTTTCTGTTGCGCTAGGTCCTGAAGTCGAAACACGCTTTACATTGTTTTACTCTCTTTCGCATGCAGGATCTCCGGACAGATGCTAAACGACTAGCTACGAGTACCACCACGCAGGTAAGGTTTTTTCAAATGTAACGCAAGCAGAGATCTCTCATTTTCTACCTTTTCTTTTATCGCACGCTCCCGGACGTTTGAAAATTAAGGAGCATTTGATTTATATCTGCAGATCGCAGTTCTCTGAAGATCCTATTTTTGTCTCCTGTCCCAGGACTTGATATATGTGATAACACTCCTTTGACAGTGAGGCGACGATATGCCCTGTGACCGAGAGTTCTTCTACTACTGCAAAAAATCTCTTTTGAAAGCACGCGCGGGGGTCTTGCCTATTTTGCCAAAGTTCCGCAACTAACGGGTTAACTCGCCCCCCCCCCCCCTCAGGGCGGAGAGTCAGGCTGCAGTGGCTCCTTCTTACTGCGACATTTTTGGCACTCCTACTCACTTGGGACCCGAGCCGTCCGCCCCCTCCTTTTCTTGTTTTAAAGAAGCTTTGTCAGTTTGCGTTGTAGACCAGTGGGTGCGATGGTACAGTAGGTGGGCTAACTCATGAAACGTCGGCCGAAATTTCGAATTGCGTTCTCGTTTCGAAAATATTAGTTAAATATGGTTGTAGCTATAATCATCGTGCAGCATAATTCTATAATGAGCCAGTTACCTCAGGGTGCCGGCTTTCGAATGAACTTATTTCCGACTGCATGCCAGATCTATACTTTGCAAAAAATGACTACTTAAGTAGCATGCAATTATCCCACTGATTTTCGATGCCCTTGAAAATTCAATTATATTTCATGGAAAAGGTGCATAAAAATATTCATTCTTTTACTTATTCGGTAGAAAATCACGTCTTCTTCCGATTTTTAACTCGAAGGAGGGGTATACTTCGGTTTCAAAAAAGTTTCCAATTGTGGGATTTTTTAATACCGTGAAATGGCCCTTTATAAAACTTCATGTCTCTGCATTTACCAAGGTGGCTTGTAAAGTTAACAATATTGCCCAAACCCACTGCTTAATTTTATGAACCCTATATGATCTTATCTTAATACCGTAGAGAAATGTGTGGTTTTCCGTACACGGAAAATATACGGCTTGTAGTCTGGAAACCCTGAGTGCAAGTATAACAGCAGGTCTAGTTCAGAATTAATCGGGAATTAGAAAAGTTTTTTTAAACCGAATTATACTCGTACTTTGCGTAAAAAATTGGAAGAGGACGTGATTTTCTACCGAATAAATAAAAGAATGAATATTTTTATGCACCTTTTCCATGAAATGTAATTGGATTTTCAAGGGCATCAAACATCAATGAGAAAATTGCATGCTACTTAAGTAGCCACTTTTTGCAGAGTATAGTTTTTCCATGCAGCCGCAAAGAAGTTCGTTCGAAAGCCAACACCCTGAGGTTACTGGATCACTATGTAGAACTCTGCTGCATGATGATTAGTTTTACAACCATACTTAATTAATCTTTTCGAAACGAGAACGCATTTCGAAATTTCGGTCGATATTTCATGAGTTAGCTCATTTACTCTACGTCTAGGTGCGGGTTTTTGCCGTGCCAGCAACCCGCGTGCTCTCCCACCTCCCGGTCTTTCCACTCTTTCACGACACCAGGCTCAAATGGGGGAGGAGGGAGTGCGGTAGATGCTGCTCAAGTCTGCCACAATTTTAAACTAATTCACGCGCAGGTCACCACCCCTGCACATGCTGTAGAGCTCATACGCTGGGCGTAGTCGGAAACGACGGTCGAACTGTCATGCCCTTCGCGTAGACCGCTCTGTTGTCCAAATTGGTATTTTTTGTAAAACTGCCTGCCTCGAACAATTTACGCTGTGCGTCCTTGTTTAGATTTCTATGATCGTTTAGCTGCTCCTGGGCATCTTCTTCTTCCTCGCACTACTACTGTTATCAGTAGTATTCCTCCTGTTGAATTTATTGCTCCCTTTTCTTATTTTCTCCTTCGATCACGGGTTCCTAGTGGTTGCCCTTTATTCAATACGCGTAAATTAGTTCCTCAGTTTGGCTGGTATATTAAAATTCACGTCTGCAATTCTTTCTCGACCGATTACAAAGATCTTCGCATGTATCGGGGAATTTGGTTCATACTTATCTAGTGCAATATAGAGTAAGATGTGGTTATGTAGCCCCGCCTGATGGACACAATACTGTTGGGGTTGATGTTAGGATTAGAGGTTAAGAATACGGGTTATGGTTGGGGGTTAGGGTTAGGGGTTAGGGCAACTATTTCTCAACCACTCAAAGTTCAACCGCGCATTCCCAATAACTTTTCTTTTGCACACAACTACTTGACCTCGTTGACTGTGCGTTCTCCGGCCCCACCGTTAATAAGCTCCACTACCACCGGTGCCGTATTACAGGTGGCTGGAGTTTGTTTACTTCAGGTGGGGCTGCATAACCACACCTGACTCAATACAGCACGGGCTCCTTAACCGTATTTTGTGGGGCACAAAAAACGATGCTGAGATATGAGGTGTACAATACAGCCCAAGGTCGCTGAATTAGGACCGCCGTTCACAAAGCCAACAAATTTTCCCTATGGTCAGATCATGGCTATAAGGCGGTGTCGGGTCGCAGAAATCTATTGCTTGTCAATGCCCGAGTAGAGGCAAAAAAGACGCCACTGCAGCCTCAGGGCAGCTTCTGATGACCACAGTGTTATTTTTTTCTACACTAGTGCTGATCACGTATTTTAAATAGGTAATTGTTACATTCAGAGCACAAGTCTTACGTATGCAAAACCGTCAGCCGATTTGATAATATGCACTAGCACCATTTCCCAAAGTAAACGCAGTCAGGGAGAAACTGCGTCGAGAAGCTACTAGTGACTGCCGTAAAGTACACTTGTGCTGAAACTCTGAACTGTTGACCTACGTCCCAATTGCGTTTTAAGGCAACAAATGTCATTTAAGTAGTACGGCTGTACCAAAGAACATGGGGCGTGACCGCAGGCCAATTCATACGTTACGGTCTGCGAGCTTTCACTAAGAACCTCCGAAATCGCACTGGGTGTTCTCATTCACAATACATTCTTTGAGATCCTGCACATGTTTCCGTCGATTTTCTTAATTAACAACCTGAGTAATTTTTCTATTTTACCCAGTTGTGAAAAAGGGAGGGTATTAGGGGGGAGGGAACAATAAACACTATTTTTGGATCCTTCATCTCATGCGACAGGTTGACTGTTGTTACCGGCGTGCACTTCACAGCAGAGTGAGTTAGGGACGATGACTGGCGCGGGAACTACTTTCTGGTAATAGTAGGCTTGCATTCCATCTACCGCATTCTCCTCCCCCTCCCCCCCCCCCCACCCGCGTCCAGTGCCACGACCGAGTCTGAAAGACCAGAGACTAGAGAGGGCGAAAACTGCTGTCATGGCAAAAGCCCGCACCTAGGCGTACCAACACACCCCCTCGCCCGCAACAGACACTGAACAGGATATGCATAACAAGAAGATAAAAGGAAGGCGGCGATGTCAGTCCGCGACTGAGCTTGCCGCCGCAGCCTAAATTTTGACATTTGTTGTGGGTGTACATTGCCAATAACGCCTGCCGGACCCCTGTGTGGCTCAGAGCATCCAGCGCGTGGTCCCTTTTTGGGGCAAATCCCTCTCAAGCATGGCGCAATTCATTCCTGAAAATCCAAATGACGGCCCACTCCTGGAAGAGAATATGCGCATCCCAGGTTCTTGTTTAAACGAAGACGAAGGCACCATCACTGGGACGGTAGACTTAGTGGCCTTAGCTTTAGAACTCGAACTGCAGTTCATCATCAGACACTGCTACAGCGCAGCAACGTGTGAACATTTATGTCGTTGTGCCGTGGGGGGAGGGGGCTACGTCCGTGGCTAGGTCTGGTTTGTGCTACCTGGTCCACGATGGTCCCCCGGCGTGGTGATGGCGTTTGTACTTCGCGGTGATGTGAGCTGCGCCACCTGGCTGCGTGGGCGGAGGGCGTGATAACGCGCAGGCAAATCAATGTGTCTATTGATAGAGTTGGTGTCCTACACCCACGCCTCCAACATTTCTCGCCCCGTCTTGTTGCCGGCTCGCGCCAATATCCGCGTGTTGGCGAAGTCGAACTCATGGCCTTCCTCCAGCGTGTGAGTGGCGGCTTGAGATAGCGGGTCTCCTCTCCGAACGGCCCGTTTGTGCTCAAGTATTCGTGAGCTGAGACGTCGTCCTGAGCGATGCCCACGCTTAACTCTGACGCAATGCGTCCTGTAGCCTCGGACACATTCTTTATGTATGGTAGGGAGTGCCAAATCGTTGGTGTCTCTCTTCCATTTGTCCGTCGTGGATGCGTGCGTATGCAGCGGCTGATGAAACTATTTGGGTAGCAGTTCTTTATTAATTGGTTCCTTAGATGCCGTATTTCTTGCATCCTTCCCTCGGGCTCTCTACAGTGCGTTTTTACCCGGTCGAAACCCAAAATCATTACGAACGAAAATGTAGTACACAACTTATCGTCAAAGCAGTAAAGCGAATCGGAACTCAGATTGTTGAGCCACGAAGCCGCTTTTAACACTGTTTATGACACCCTAGCCGACTTCATTGTCGCACTTGAGGGCATGTTAGTACAAACTAACGCAACCGAAGAGGCTAAACACACGGTGCGCCAAAAGGTCACGTCTCTCCTTATGATGAACAGAGACGCTAGCAATATGTCGCCCGCAGAAACAGAAGCAATGAAGAGATTAAAAATGGACAAAGATATTATATTGCTACCGGCCGACAAAGGAAGAGCAACCGTTTTGATGAACCGCGTTGATTACAACGAGAATGAACAAGCTCTTTTGGACGACCCACAGTCCTACATGTCCGCACCCGCCTCGCAGGCTAAATCGATGATTGGCCAACTGACGGGACTCTTAAGCCGAATCCGGCACAACAATGAAATCTCGCTTGACGAATGGCGCCAGACAAAACCAACCGACACGGCATTGGCCAGGTTCTATAAACTTCAAAAATCCACAAACCAAACGTTCCTTTGCGGCCAATCGTTGCCCTGAAAGGCAGCCCCACATACAATCTAGCCAAATGGATGTCTCGAAAGCTCAATTTTCTCCGAGAGGGCTCTGTCACGTCAGTCAATTCGGCCTCCCAATTCCTTGCCGACGCTCGAGGAAAAACTATTCGACCGGACCAGATCATGGTATTCTTCGACGTTGTCTCACTTTTCACGTCCATTCCACCAGACCTGGCGCGCGACGTGCTACGCAAACGCCTCAAAGAAAAGTACGACGAAACAACAGGACCCCTAAAGATCCAGCACCTCATGCAGCTCTTTGCATTCTGTCAACGGACGTATTTTACCTTCGATGGCAGAACATACGAACAAATCAAAGGAACACCCATGGGTTCCCCAATATCCAGCCTAGTTGCGGAATTGGTCCGACAAGAGCTGGAAAAGGTTGCTTTCAGCCACTACAAACCTGCGTTTCGGCGCCGATACGTGGGCGATACATTCGTCATTATTGAAAAGAACAGGCTATCGGGGTTTCAAGACTTGCTTAACAGCATCTTCCCCGACATTCAGTTTATAAGAGAAGACGAGGAGGCCGAGAAACTACCCGTCTTTGACTTTCTCGTCACGCGCACACCTGATGGTAAACTCAGCATTACAGTGTACAGAAAGTCGAACAATACAACCCAGGTCCTCAACTATCATAGCAACCACCCATTAATGCACAAACGGGACCGTGTGAAGGCGCTTTTCGACCGGGTAAAAACGCATTGTAGCGAGCCCGAGGGAAGGATGCAAGAAATACGGCATCTCAGGGACCAGTTAACAAAGAATGGCTACCCAAATAGTTTCATCAGCCGCTGCATACGCACGCACCCACGACGGACAAATGGAAGAGAGACACCAACGATTTGGCACTCCCTACCGTACAACAAGAATGAGTCCGAGGCTACAGAACGCATCCCGTCAGAGCTAGGCGTGGGCATCGCTCATCACCCGGCGGCCACCATGCGTAGCAGGATCATGAAAATGAAGAATCGGCTGGACGCAGGTGAACAGTCGGGCGTAGTCTATCGAATCCCGTGCCAAAACGGTCCTTGCCACTACACAGGCCAGACAGGACGGCGTCTGAGCTCACGAATACTTGAGCACAAACGGGCCGTTCGGAGAGGCGACCCACTGTCTCAATTAGCCACTCACACGCTCGAGGAAGGGCATGAGTTCGACTTCGCCAACACGCGGATATTGGCGCGAGCCGGCAACAAGACGGGGCGAGAGCTGTTGGAGGCGTGGGTGTCGGACACCAACTCCATCAACAGACACATCGATTTGCCTGCGTGTTATCACGCGCTCCGCCCACGCAGCCAGGTGGCGCAGCTCACACCGTCGCGAAGTGCAAACGGCGTCACCACGCCGGGGGAACATCGTGGACCAGGCGGCACAAACCCTACCTAGCCACGGACGTACTCCCCCTCCCCCCGCAAGGATGAACGATATAAATGTTCACAATTTGCTGCACTCGAGTAACCTCTGATGATGAACTCTAGTTCGAGTTCGAAAGCTCAGGCAAATAAACTTACTGTCCCAGTGGTCGTGCCTTCGCCTTCTTTTAAACACCTGGTTTTCACACGAAAGCGGTGGATGGGTGGAATCTCACATGCGTCACAGTGCCATAGCGATCACATGGAGAAGGAACCAACAGGCACTTATGTGCCGGCGAGGAATGATGTGATAATTTGTTTTGACCGGCCCTATTTCAACCCAAAGTTTTCATGGATACGGATATAACAAAGTAGGCCCATACAGTGACTGAGTACGTGTCAGCAGAGTCGACAGCGGAGGCGGGGGCGATGAATGTACGTTGCTGTTCCGGGCATTGGTCCGGGACACCCTCTTTTATTGGAGCTGAAGATCCTGGTTAGTGTACGTTCTGGATCAGGGAGTGTGGTAGTACGCGTAGATGCGGGTATAAGTTGTGTCAGCCACACCTCTTGGTTCTGTCTTGACATCGTGTCCAGGTGGGGGAGGAGGAGAGAGTGCGGTAGATGCAGCGCAATTCAACCGTCATTATAAACTAGCTTACTCGCAAGCTACCGTCCCTGCTTTCATTTTGCACGGGGACACCTGGTGAAAATCGTCGGTTCCGACGGTCTGACTGTCAGTTTACCCGTCTTTGTGCATTGATTCGCAAGTGACCGATCAGGCCGATCCCTGCTGTGAAGATGCGATCGCAATGAGTACGGATTAGGATGGTAGTGGGGGCAGTGATGTTGAGTGTGGCAGTTGGATGGGATGTCGGTAGTGTTATCACCGTTTTGGGGGTGGGACGAATGGTAGTCATCGGCGTCGTCGTCGTCGTAGGTAGGTTTTTGGTAGCAATGATCCAGATGGTATTCAACGGTGACGGTGGGGGCGGCACACTGATGAGCCGAACCCCTTACAGCTGTGTCATGCAGCACGGGAATATCGGTGAAACACGCGTGTATGGGCCTTTAGATAGGGTATGGGCTGTTAGTATGGTATCATCTTACCCTAAAGTACACTACTAGCTGCCTGTCGGCAATTGATGAATATTACGCGGTTACCCGCTGTGGCTGATTGACTTCGGCCTAAATGTTCATACATCAAATTTCGGTTTGCGCCTATGGACCTTGGAATAGATTAATCTACTCCTATTTCGCAGTTACTCTCTGAGGAAATTAAAAAGCAACAAGACGATATCTTTGCCCAAACCTACCTCCCATAAATTATAAATTACCGGGGGCTGAGATATTTGCCATATGGCACGTGAGAAGAAGGACGGGCGTTCAGCGACAGAGGTTTATTTTGAGTCTGAAGGTAGAGATAGTAATTTCGGTTACCGACCATCTGAGATTGAAGAGTTGCATGCATATTCCTCACTACGCAACGCATCTGCCTGTTGTGCGAACATGCTGTATGACATTACTTAAATGATAGTTTTTATTTCGAAAGATTTACAAGTGAACAGAGCGATCTTCAGCCTGCACGGTAATGCGGGGAATTGACTAGTTATAGTGCCCCCTTCTAATGACTTTTGCAAATTCACCTAGGTAACTGTTTCGATCTGAAAACTTCCTCGGAACTATCGGCCAATTTTTCATGAGTTCTCACCCATTTTGTATGTACACTATACACGTCTACAAATCAACTTCAGAATCGTCCAATGCGACCAAGCTCTACTCTTCTACTTACTTAGGTCCAACAGGCACAGGAGTGTATTGAACAGTTGCTGGAGAACATAAAGGCTATACAGGAAGAGCGGGATCAAGCTGTAGCCAAAGTCAAGGCCTTATTGTGTGAGAATCGTGCTTGTAAGACATCACCCGTACCAAATCAGGTAATTCCGCAGATTTTTCAGGGCTTCTTCTCAACTGAGCTTTTTAAGCGCCCTTCATTTATTTTGCACATTAATTGGTTACTCGATGAAAAGTAGTCCAGAAAAGTAGTTTGTAATACGGAAGGACTAAATTGTCTGCTACTTTTGCCCGCAAAGATGTAGAGTCTCTGATCAGGAAGCAACAGTCTGCGGGCTCGGCAAGATTCAAAAACGAAATCCCGGAAGAACAAATATACCTTGCCTATCGCTATGATGTACAGCCTCCGAGCACACTGAGACAATGAAGGCGGTTGACTCTTTGGCTCTTAGGGTGAGAATCTACGCAACGTCTGCACGCATCCTCGTGAGAATTTCCTCTCGACCAAAGAGACGACCGTGAGCTGGCACATGGGCGACCCCGATCAGATCGATTTCGGTTTTCTAAACCTTAAGTGCACACCTCAAATTTGGAAGCCGTGGAGGAGGAGTGGGTCCTAGAATTGCACAAAAATTCGTTTTCACTACTGATGTCGATGCACAGAAACTGATTATCTCGATTCTCAAAAGAGGTGCTAGCATGTGATCATGGGCGTTACTGAGAAATCTTACACCCTATTGATTGAACTATACAGAGCCCATCGAGTCTATGTAGAGGGCTCCACGGTTTAAATTCATAACTCTTGGGCCATGGGAGTTCAAGGTCCTATTGTCCTTCGTTTGCGTTTCAGAATGGTCCCAGTTTACAGCGTTCTGTGCATGCGCGCCAGATGTCACCAGCATTCTTTAACGTGAGAACCATGCTGCCTTACCTATTTTGCATTATTTTTTTTAACACTGTTCTCCTTACTTCTGCAGCTTTGAAATCTACGCTCATTTTTGTCGAAGTCATATTGGAACAAGGCCTTTAAAATATGCACAACCACGTTAGGCGGTTATCTATAAAGAATTTAGAAGAGGACAGATTTAAAGTTCTGTTAAGAAACGGAGAGCAGTGGAACCGTCGTGTTACGTCTTGCAACTAGGCCAGGATGTCATCACCGGGTGTCTTGGAATTCCAGGTCTGCACAAAATGGAAGGGACCTGTTTGGAAAACTTATTATTATTGGCATGGCCGTTTTCAGATACAGTATGTGGACTAACTCATGAAATGCCGGCCAAAATTTCAAAATGCGTTCTCGTCTCAAAAATATTTATTATGTTTGTAAAACTAATCACTGTCCAGGATAATTCTATAATGATCCAGTTACCTCAGGGTGCTTCTTTCGAAAGAAATTATTTTCGACTGCATGCGGAAACAATACTTTGCAAAATCGACTATTTAAGTAGCATGTAATTTTCTCAATGATTTTCGACAATCCCGAAAATTCAATTATATTTCATGACAAAATGCATAAAAGTATTCATTCGTTTTCTTTATTCGGGAGAAAATCCCGTCTTCTTCAAATTTTATCCTCGAAGGAAGAGTATAATTCGGTTTTAAAAAACTCATCTAATTCCCGAATAATTTTGAACCCGACCTGCTGTTATACTTGCATTCGGGGTTTTCGAACTACAAGCCGTATATTTTCAATGTACGAAAAACCATACATTCCTCTACGGTATTAAGAGGAGACCATATATGGTTCATAAAATTAAGCAGTGGATTTGAGCAATGTTGTTCGTTTTACAAGCCGCATTGGTAAATGCAGATACAAGACGTTTTATGAACGGCCATTTCACGGTATTAAAAAATCTCACAATTATAAACTTTTATGAAACCGAGTTATATTTCTATTTCGAGTAAAAAGTTGACATGGCCGTTTTCAGATACGTAAATTGTTAGAACTTTCCTGAACATACATTCTTCTGGTTGCAATACGCTTTCTGATACAAGATTCGATAATGCCTTGCGTGCATGATCACAAACCTCGTTAGCTCGGGGGCAACCTGCCGTCTGTTCTCATCATCAAAACAAAATATTCGAATGGCTCTCTCTCTCTCTCTTTCTCAGAGCTGATTTCTGCCCTTGGAAGACTAACTGTAGCACCAAGTGTTTGCCGTTAAACTTTCATCACTTATATCTCTTCTCGTTATTTAATTATTTTAAGGACTTCACGAAGATTACGAGCCTGTCGCCTGACGAAACTCTCTCAACGCACACAATGTATGGAATAGAGGAATTGGAGGACACACAACCGCCCACCTGTCCATTGTACGCAGTCTCTCGCATTATCCGAATTATCGCTTATTTTATGCTTTGTTTATTGATTAGACGACAGAGCCTTCTAGCGCAACTGGAAATGTACTGGTGAAGTGTAGCCTTGTGTGCAAAAACCGAATACGGCCCTTTTAAATTTTAAGAATCGGGTCTTATAATTTGACATCTTATTTGGAACTACTTAGTAGTTGCGAATCTAAGTCTGTAGTTCATTTGGGTACTTGCTCGCACGCCTGGTGCCTAGTCGCTGGGTCTGTTATTTTCACCGCCATCACGCGTTTCTACTTTGCCGCTCGGTGTCCCGTACGACCACGTCCACCACCACCACGTCCACCACCACCACGTCCACCACCACCACGTCCACTATCATCAGCGTCACTACCAGCATCATCTTCCTCTCCATTAATAACATACCCGAGAGGTAATTAGTCTCTCCTAAACTATATTTTTCATTTTCTTCTACGTATTAAAGCGTAGAGAATGCTCGAAACGCTGCCTGTGACGCCAAACCGACGAAGAAAGGCAACAGAAATATATCCACAGAGTCTTGGCGGACACGAAATCTCTCAAGAGCTCTACGAGCAAGAGTGAGTCCGTTCCTCCTATTTCCCCATCTCACCCACTTTCAAACAGACCCTGGAATTGCGACGAGAAAAGGCCACCTCAGCAGAGTTGCTGGAACAGTTGCACTCACAGGAGGAACGCCACAAGCGGGCCATGTGGAAGCTCAAACGACTTGAGGAGAGGTTTTCTTGTTTTTTTTTCAAAGACATGATTTTTTCAGGAGTCAAAAACTAATTAATCAACCGTATTGCCGGAACTGCAAATCTAAACTGCTGACCCAGGGTGAAGGTAAGTTCTCGTTTGTTGCTGACCATTTTTCCACTAAAATGTCAGTCGGAATGAACGTCTTGTTCTGCAAGTTGTTTCAGCCGGTCGTTTAATTGCGACGGTCGAACTGTCGTAGTTGGGCCTGCAGTTCTGACAGACGGAGTGGTCTTAAATACTTTTGTTATTAGTAATTTTACTAAGTCTTTTAAATTATATTTCCCACTACTTTCTGCTGTTTCGCGGTTTTTATAGCGACTAACCTCAAATGCAAGAATCTTGCCAAGGAGGTACGAATGTTCATATCGATTTTTTGGTTTGCCTACTTACTTTTAATCAGTAGACTTGCTGTATATTTTTGTATGCGCTCTAGGTACAGCGTCTGCGTACACGCAACATCGAACTGTCCGGTAGGGCGAAGGAGAGAGAAAAACTGCTCGAGACGAAAGTCCAGTGAGTTTGGTCGGAATGGCTGCAGATTCATCTTAGACGGTCTTTTTTTCAAAAATGAAATTCTTTTTGTTGACTGACTTTTCTAGGATGAATCGTTTTCACCTGAAATTTCTGCTTCGGCGCATTAACCGACTTGAATTTCTTCAGAAGGCGCGCATCAGCTCTCGTTCTTTTATCCGGTAATTTATCCGAAAACTTTTTTTCTATCATAGGCCCGCTAGAGTTGTCTTTGTTTTTCTATGCTTACTCTTACTTTCACCCTAACATTGAACAATGTATACTTCAGTAAGCCGAGCTTTGAATTTTTTCAGAAGCGTTTGTCAAAGTCTGGAGGCAAAATTTCTAGTCCATTTTACTTCCTTTTTGTTATGAAAAACTTTTTGGCGATGGGGGTTTGGATCTGTGAATAATATGCAATCTTTTTTCCCGTACCTTCGTTAGGCTCATCATCAGTTTCACATACGAATGTTTCTAGAAAATTAATTTAAAGTAGTTCTTAACTCCGGCAATTTACTCATTAAAAATGAGGTGATTAAAAAAGTGAAGTAGGCTTGTGTGATAAAAACGACCTGGCATCTTGCTAGTCGCATATTTTAGTCTTTACGGCGGGCGTTTCGCCATTGCAATTTAATATGGCACGAATTGCCACCCTCTAGAGCAGGGCTTTAAAACCATCTGTCCGCTTACTTTTCTGAGGAGCACGCACTCCATTTAGATCGTCTTTAATGCCAAATTCTGCACAGACCGTCGTGGCGTTCTGACAGTTTGCCACAGTTAGTGGCCGATCACATGAAATGTTGGCTGGAATTCTGAAATGTGTTTTCGACTAGGAAGGATTACCTAGGTGAAGTTGTAGTATTAATTATCATGCGGCATGATCTCATGCTATTTTAGACTCAGTAGGATGTCGGCTTTTAAATGTGTTTCTTTTCGATTTTCTGCAGAAACCACGTTCGGTAAGAAATGACTACATAAGTAGCAGGCATTTTTTACCATGATTTTCGGTAGTCTTATAAATTCAAGTATTTTTTAATAGAAAACATGCGCAAAATATGCTTTTTTACTCGTTTGGTAGTAAATCGCATTAATTTCACATTTCATGCCCTAAAACGGTATATTTTCATTTAGCAATTTCAGTCTCTAAGGTGTATGCATTCCGCATAAGGAAAATCCTATTTTCCTCTATGTCTTTAAATAGGCATTATATATGGTTCATAAAATTTTGCAGTGGATGCGGACAATGCTGTACATTTCATGAGGCGCATTGGTAAACGATCACTTGCGATGCTGTATGTATGGACATCATACGGTCTTAAAAATGTCATAATAAGAACCCTTCTTAAAACCTAAATATACACTTTCCTCGGGTACAAAATGTGAAGGTAACGCGATTTTCTATCAAACGAGTAAAAGAAAGCATATTTTGCCCATGCTTTCTATAAAAAATATTTAAATTTATAGGGCTACCGAAAATCATGGTGAAAAATACCTACCACTTAAGTAGTCATTTTTTATCGTGTACTGTCTACGCAGGAAATCGAAAAGAAATACATTTAAAAGCCGACATCCTGGCGAGTCCGAAATACTATGGACTGCATGATAATCAGTATTACAACTTTACCTAAGTAATCCTTCCTAATAGAAAACGTATTTCAGAATTTCAGCCAACATTTGATGAGATCGGTCACTAACTGTATATATGGCAGTTTTGATGAGAAGAAGAAAGTTCCTGGCCTAAAACTACACGATAACAGTCCTCCGGAGCAGTGCTCTATACCAGATGGTTATTGAACTGTAAACGCCTACCAGTTCATTACGTCTTATGGTTTAATACATTTGATTTAAAAAAACAACATTGTAGTTGTTCATTTAGTCAACCAGGCTTGTAAACTTTTGTATGCCTGACTGCCTGTTAAGTATGATGCGTGCATGTGCCCCACAGTCTTCTCTATCCCAATCAAAATAAATGCGGTTGTCCAAGTGAGCGGAGAATTATGTGGAATTCAACCTCAGGATATCCCCCGTGCATTGCACCGAAACCATTGCTTTTTCTGTGCGGCAGCGAAACGAGGGACAGGTATGAGCCAATTAAACACCACTGACGTATGTTTGGAGGTGACTGCGCAGAGCTCTGCATGCTGGCGATAGATCGATTCATCGACCGACTGACTTCTCATCCGAGGTCCGGAATCTCCTTGCATCTGATATGGCTGATTATCTTGGAGGCTGTGAATTTGGACCCATGTCCTGTTTTGAAGATGGGTGTCAGACAATTCTGCCCTTATTGGCCGTGAAAGTGAAATTAATCCGAGTGGGAAAAGTAGCTTGGACATATGACTCACTGGAGGAGTAACAATTACTTGCTTAGCCAGTGGGTGGTAGAGGAGGACAGAACCTTCTGGAGTTGCCGGATAGATGTTGTCTGTAGACACTTGTTTTCTAGCTGTGTAATTTTCATGTTTTTTAGGCCGCAGTAACCGATTTGCCTTTAGTCATTAGACAATGTAGAATATTTCCACGACCTGGACCTTACCAACCACTTTTAGGTACGATAGGCTCCGGTACACAACTTAACATCTGAAAGGTCCTTTGAAGACAATTGTACAGTTCGTAATTATGGTATTCTTGTCAGACCCTCAGATTATGCCTACCGTTAAGGAGCAGATCTTCACTTTTCACTTGTCTGCCACTTATTCAAGATTAAGGTGGTTCATTGGCAAGTGTTTTCGTTTTGACAAAATTGCCCAGATTTTTTTAGAATTTTCCCCTAACTCGGATTTCTGCAATTCCAATTAGGCCCATCTACAGAAGCCTCCACGGACAAAGACCCAGTAACTGTCAACTAAATTGCTTTAGATCAACCAGTCGTTATCTGCCTCAAACAGTACCCGATGATGGGAGGTTAGTTTCTCCATGTTGAACTAATGCAGTAATCACGAGTGTTTCCTCAATTTGATTGCCATACAACGCTTGGCAGTCCTCCCTCTTATCTTCATCCACTTTGCAGCTGCAAACCGATGACAGGCAACAGGGAGGCCTGTGTGTCGGACTTGAACTCTCAGAATTGCCCTGAACTGGAAGCAAAAAACCGACGAATTTCTGCTTTGCGGCAGGAGGTAACATTCCATAGCTGGAGCAATTCTTTCATCCCGCTTCCCTAACGATCGGGCTTATTGCCCTGTTTAAAAGTATTTAATGCCAGAGATCCCGATCCACCAGTTTTCTAACTGTGCAATACCAAAGAAGGAACAGACCGAATGATAATAGCGCTGACATGAATTAAGCATTATTTAACCAGGTCAACTGTCAACATACTTGTTACGGTTTTAATCCGGCCTAATCACGTCAGCCTCAGCGATGTAGCAGGTATTAGCTCTCAGCGTGGACTGATCTACCGTGGCGGATGTAATGCGTCCGACTTGCTCGTCTCTCCGGTGATGATACCCAAGTATCGCGATTTAAAGAACTACCTCCACAACCTACTAGACTGTGTCGAACCATCCGTACACCCTCCTTATTCTCTTGCAGTTACGTCGGATTTAGGAAAAGGGTGATGAAGAGTCCGTCGTAGATGCCTTTGTGAGGTTTCCGCTGGTTCATTGAGGACAGGGCTTGTGCATTCCCCCCAGAGGATAGTTTTCGGGCAGTTGTGACCGAAGCCTCCCCAGTTGTCGCTCACTTTTCTCGCGAACAACCAAAGTTCCACAACCGTAGAAGAAGGTCGATTGGAAAAATGTTCTGTAAACGCTGATCTTGGCGGAGAATAGACGTCTCGAGGCCCCTTGGATGGCTTTAAAAAATCCCCTGAACAGCGAGGTGTAGTTCTCTCTTTGTTCTCTTGGCAAACATCTAGTCCCGAGAGCTTCTAAACTGTCCACTACTTCCGGTTGACGTTTATTAATTAGGAAGTAGGGACTTTCACCAACACAGCCCGTTAGTCGGTCACGCATGGCAATATGGATCCCCCGTCAGCACTACAAAGGCCTCGCGCTAAGGTCCTACTCAAGTGCCTCAACCTTAACCTCAACACTTACCCAAACCCTCCTCCTATGACGAACTCGCCGTAAGCGTCAAGAGCGCTGTCTCACATAGGTAGACAAGGCTGCGCACCCGAGGAGTATCGCCTTTAGAAAAGTACCAAGGCTGATGACGAAACTACCAGTCAGACATCCAAATCCAGCTAGGTCTTCGGCCAGCTATAGCCGTTGAGAACCGCTACGGTATTCTCAACGTAAAACGGACCTGCTGTTCTGACAGCGCTCATGTTCGCAGCCGAGACGTTGATAGTTTATGAACACCAGTCAAGAAAACTCAAGCATTCTCGCCCGACCTGTCTCCAGATAATGCCGAAGGTGAAGTAAAGGGGACGGATTCCAGACGCCGGGGTCCTGGATAGGCAAGCGTGCGCGGCATCTACGTTATGCTGAAGCAGATGTGTCCACTGTGAAGTTGTCAGGTGGTGGGGATGGGTGACGAGCCATTTCAAGAATGACGACTGAATGGTAAAGTTGCTGCTGGTTTTTCGCAGACGTGGGCAGAAGCTGCGATACAGGGACACTCTGGGGATCTCTCTCAAGCGCCTACAAATCAAGCCTGAAACCTGGAATGACCCATTTCAGAACCGATAGTCATGGTGCACAGCCACAAGGACTGGGACAGCTACCTTTGAAGACAAGAAATAACAGATGCAATTCGCGAGATCAGCGAGACCCACGTGCCGTGCACCACCGGTACAAGCACCCAACCTCTGCCGTCATGTTAGCATTGTCAACGGACACACCTCACGGACTGACTTTTTTAGACATCACGGGCAACCCGCCGACCACATCACGAAACCTCGCAGCCAGCAGCATCACTACTGGGGACACCTTTCCTCCTAGGACTCAAAGGCCAGTCAGCACCACCACCACCACCACCACCAATCTGAACACCATCCTCACTTGTTCTCTGTGCGACCTCTAATTTAATTTACGAATCGACTTTGTCGTTCACCTGACAATCTATTAGGGAGCAGTGTCAGCGGTTCCGACATGCACCATCCAAGTACACCATCATTGTACGCACTGTCCAGGGACATTTTGACGCGCTATAGATCTACTGGGTCACGCAGACAGCTGCGTAAATTCACAATGCAACAGGACGGCTAAAGACTCCTTTCTACAGCCCTCCCCATCCACACACAGTAGGCGCAATTAGGCTGCATGCGGGCCTATGGCAAAAAGTCGCACACCATTTACGTTACGGAACTCACTCGTCCCCTTGTGCTCTCTCTCGAGCTCCGTCAGCAGCGGCACAACGGCGCATGATATCGGCAGGATAGCGTTAGGGACGTTGGACTGCTAGTCAACAGGTCACTGGATCGGGCTCTAGGTGCTCCACACTTCAGGCCTGGGCATGACTAGCTGACGACGGTTAATAAGGAAGAAATAGTCATTCCAGTCTCCCTTGTAGGTGATGCTCTTCTGCCTATACAAGCTTATCTTGCTACAGCCGTACATACATGAGCAGTCGGCACGACATCACTCATGCAACAGTCATGCGATACAATCTGCCAGCACGTGAGAATGTCCGCCTCATATTTATGCCAGGAACCTACAACATGCTGAGAACCGGTCTTGTGAACCAGAGAGCCAGCACGTGGGTGACACACGCAGACTTCGGTATTTGTACTACCTCAGCCCCCGCACGTGATTTCGGCACCATTTGTCTTGGTTCGCGCAGGCCACTGCTACGTGAAGAGGAAAGAGAGAGAAAGGGTGCGGCCGAAATGGCGGAGGAATCCATTCTTGAGACAAATTGACGCATCCTATTCACAGCCGACCTGACGCGCTGATGACAACACTGCAGTATGCGACCATAGGGAAGGCCCTTTAACCGACTGGTGCATGCCGTTGAACAACGCTGGACAAGGGAATACCGCAACGTAAGTTAGGGAAAGCGGAAAAGAGCAACCACAGCATTTAAATCACAAAAACATATCTACTTGAAAGCCAACAGTAGGTAGGCATAGTGGTTATAAAGAGATGAGGGCATTGGGCTGTCACCGAGCTAGTAGTCGGGGCCCGAAAGTTTACCGACAGAGGAACTAAGTTGATCCCCCCCCCCAGACTTGCTGGTCATACCGAAACTGCTCCTTCTATAGGTGGCCTTCATGACACTTAAACTTTTGAAATCTGGTGCATGTGGGGCAGGAACCAGGTCGGGCGTGCTAGACGTAGACTTGTGACTTAGCCACTGTGGTCAGCTTATTCCGACGGTATTAACAACCAGCCTGTGGGTGATATGTGGAGGAAGATTTAAGTGGATGCAATGCAAGTCTGATTCATTATAAATATACTCACAGTTAGGTCCACCTCGTGGTCTACCGCTAGACCCCTTCGTTCACGATGGTCAAACGCTTACCTCCTTGACGGTCGGAAAGGCTTATAAGCATCCCCATCCCATATTACAAGTGGCCGTGCCCCAAATTCCAAGAGTTCAGGGTGGTTAGTTTGGGCTAGGATCAAGGTTAGGATGGTTAGGGTTAAAATCAGGACATGGGAGCGAGGGTGCTTGAAAGTCCGGGGAGGCGAACTTATTTCCATTTCTAACCCGAACAACTTTAAAAAAATTAACAAGTAGTCTCGCATTGTTTTTTTCAGCTGCCAGTCACTACAACCTTTTTGCGCGCATAGTGCGTGAATATTTAAATATTTCTGTCCATGATTTAAACTTCCCTACAACCTGTTTGTCTTTTTCCAGTTACAAGCTGTCACGATGTCAAAAGACAAGACGGCGCAGTTGGCCGGACTGCTTGCGAAAAGCTACGACTCCTTGATGATTAGGTCACGCGCCAGTCACCGCCAGGCGCAGCGGAAAGATGCTGTACTCTCCGTGAGTTCTCGCATTCGGACATCCCAGACTATCCGTTGTTGATAAGGTGGAATCTTCCGCCACTTAGAAGGCGGCTGTACGAAAAATTTATTCTGCTAGGCCCTTTTGCAGATGTGCTATCTCATAAGATGTCAACCGAATTTCTGAGATGTCTTCGATTAAAAAAGACTACTTATGTTGGGTTGTATTTTTAATTACTGTACAGCATAATCCTAAGATATTTCAGACACGTCAAGACTTTGGCTCTTAAACAAGCTGTTTTCTAGCGGTTTACAGAAATCACACACTGTAAAAAGTGACTACTTAAGTATTTCTCCTATTGATTTTCGACCCCCTTATACATTTAAATATTTTCTTTATTGAAGGTATGCGCAAAACCATTCTTGCTTGTGCCTTTTTCGTAGAAAATTACGTCCTTTTTAAATTTTTTACTTGAAAAAAGGGTATTTTTTTTTACTAAACTTATAATTGTGAGATTTGATAAAACAGTGAATTGTCTACCCAGGAAACGTCGGATCGGTCCATTCATTAATGCTGCTTGTCAAATATACGACATGGTCTACATCTACGGCAAAATTTTACGAACCCCATATGACCTCATCTTCGTAACATATAAAAATATTGGATTTTTACTACAGGGGAGATATACAGTCTGAATACCTGTGCAACGGCGGACCAAGTTTGAAATTATTCAGGAGTTTAAAACGTTTTTCAAGACTGAGAGACACGTCTTTTAAGTACTTATTTTAACGAAGAGAACAAGCACAAGAAAGAATGCTCTTGTTCAGTGCCTTCCGTAAAATATAATTGAATGTATAAGGGCATCAGAAATCAATAGGGAAAATTTATTCTACCCGAGTAACCACCTCTACGGAATGTAGTTTCTGCAAGCCGTCTGAGGCAATTTCGTTAAAAAGTCGGCACCCTAACATGACTGAAATATCTTGTGATTATGCTACGCAATAATTAGCCCTACGACCCCATGTAAATAATCTTGTCTTGTCGAATATTACATTTCAGAATTTTGGTTAACATTTCCTGAGATGACACGTCTACTGCAAATTGGTTGTGAAGATTTGTTTCAATCCCTGCTTATAATTTGGCGGTGGTTATTCTAGACTGCTCACTTTATTCTAGCGCAGAGTGGATCCCTCAACACCGTTCTCTTTTGCTTTTTGAGTTATCGATAGGTTTGCCGTCTATTTTAGCCTCGAGCAGACTTTTGCTCGATGATGCCAAACTAGTAGCTTTCCAATAAGTAGTCGAGAATCATTCCTAAAATTTTTGTTTGGATCGTTGTTAATGGTGATCATGCGTATTATAAGTCAATGAGGTTAATTCCGCCTGCACTGTTGCAGTTTTACGCTCTGGGAATTTAGGGATTTGAGTAGAAACTAAGGTTCTTTGCCATGTTTGATTTTTTTATGTTTATTCTCTTTAAGCAAATAATCGCCTCTCTGGTATCCGTCTGGAATGAAATCTCCTTTTTCGGGAAGCGATTTTTGAACATCAAGAAGAATCCTGACAACCTTCTCTCCCAGCTGCACGAGGACTTTGACTTAGCGTTTGTTTCTTGTGGAACGGAGAAGTGGAAGCAGCTTGCTTCGCAGCATTCAGACGAACCAGATCACCGCGTGATTATTTTTATCCTTTCTTAAACTTCAACTGCATATCTACAAAGTCGAATTATCGAGGATTTGAACATTCGCTCTGCCAAAAAAGTGGCCTATTAACGGTGTCATAAATTCATCTGACGTGTCCAAAGAATTCCGGTTAAACTGACGATTTTCCCGACTTTGGGTCAAATTTCTCCGCGTTACGTGGTAGGCACTTGACATACATCGACACTTCGACTGTCGTGACCGACGATGTCCAACGTGTGCTCCACCGCTAGGTGAAGCAGGGACGGTGACTTGCACGTGAGTTAGTTTATAGTGACAGCAGACTTGCGCTGCATCTACCGCACTCTCTCCTCTCCTAGCTGGGTCCGTTGTCAAGAGAGAGTCCAGAAGACCTGTGGCGGGAGAGGGCATACGTTACTAGCACGGCGAAACTCACACCTGCAGTGCGTGACCGATCTCATGTAATGTTGGCCAAATTTCAGGAATGCGTTTTCGATTAGGAAGGATTACTTAGATGGGTATGTAATATTGATTAGCATGCAGCATAATCCTATAGCATTTCGGACTCGACAGCATGTCGGCTTTTGAATATACCTCTTTTTGGCCTCCTGCAGAAACCAAATTTGATAAAGAACGACTACTTAATTAGTGTGCATTTTTCCTACTGATTTTCGATAGTCTTATAAACTCAAATACATTTTATAGAAAGCATGCATAAAATATGCTTTATTTTGCTCGTTTGATAGAAAATCATATTATCTTAATATTATATAGCTGAAAAAGGTGTATATTTATGTTTTGAGGAAGTTTTCCAATTCCCGAATATTTTTGAGCCTGATCTGTCATTACATCATCATTTAGCGACATCAGTCTACAAGGTGCATGGTTTCTGCGCGTAGAAAATCATATATTCCTCTATGTTTTTAAGAAGGTACCACATAGAGTTCATAAATTTTTGCAATGGATCAGGACTGTGTAGTACATTTCATGAGGAGCACTGGAAAACGGACATGTGCCGTCCTGTATACATGGACAGCGCACGGTCTTAAAAATTCCATAATTAGCAACTTTTTAGAACCTAAATATACACTTTCTATAAAATATATTTAAATTTATAAAACTATCAAAAATCAGAAGGAAAAGTGCATGATAATTAGGTAGTCATTCTTTATCGAATTTGGTTTTTGCAGGTCAGAAGGAAGTGCATTCAAAAGCCGACATCCTGGCGAGTCCGAAATACTATAGGATTATACTGCATGCTAATCAGTATAACAACCCCACCTAAGTAATCCTTCTAAAACAAAAACGCATTCCGGAATTTTGGCCAACATTTAGTGAGATCGGTCACGCACTGTAGACGCATCACCACATCGTCTGGTCTACAATGGACACTGACCAAGATTTTATACCACAGGCAAAAATTAGGGGGGTTGGTCGCAACGTGAGCCTGTTCAGGGGCGTGCTACCACACTCTAAATGCTGGTATTTGTAATGGGTGCGTTTTGCCAATAACTTCTGTCGGACCACGATTTAGGCCCTCTGTTAATCCAGTGCAGCAACTGCGTGACCCTTTTTAAGGGGCAGGACTTGGCAAACAGTAGGTGGGCTAACTCATGAAATCTCAACAGAAATTCCGAAATGCGTTTCCGTTTCGAAAAGATTAGTTAAGTAGGGTTGTAAAACTAATCATCATGCAGCATTATTCTGTAATAATTTAGTTACTCCAGGACGTCGGCTTTCGGACGTACGTCTTTCCGACTGCATCCAAAAACCATACGCCGTAAAAAGTAACTACTTATGTAGCATGCATTTTTCTCATTTATTTTCTATGTCCCAAAAAATTTAGTCCTATTTCATGGAAATCATTCACAAAAATGTTCATTCTTCTGCTCATTCGGTAGAAAATTGTGTTCTCTTCCAATTTTATGCTCGAAAAAAGGGTATAACTCGGTTTTAAAAAAGTATCTAATCGTGAGATTTTTTAATACCGTGAAATGGCTCTTCATAAAATGTCATGTCTCTGCATTTACCAATGTGGCATGTAAAGATAGCAATGTATATCAAATCTTCTGCTTAATTTCAAGAACGCCATATAGTTTCCTCTTAATACGGTAGGGAAATGTATGGTTTTCCGTACGCAGAAATTATACGGTTTGTAGTTTGGGAACCCTGAATGCAAGTGTGACGGCAGGTCGGGCTCAAAATTATTCGGGAATTGGAAATGTTTTAAAAAACCAAATTATACCCTTCCTTCGAGTATATAATTGAAAGAAAACGTAGTTTTCTTCTGAATGAGTAAAAGAATGAATATTTTTATGCATGTTTTCCATTAAATATAATTGGATCTTTCAGGGCATCAAAATCAATGAAAAAATGCATGCTACGTAAGCAGTAATTTTTTACGGAGTATGGTTTACCGAAACGAAAACGCATTTCGGAATTTCTGTTGAGATTTTATGAGTTAGTCCACTTACTGTACATAGGCATAAGTCCAGGAGCTGCATTTGTCAAACCGAAATTTGCACTAAAACGGACTGCGTAATGTCATCTATCTCCCGAAGCTGGCTGTTGTAAGGGCGGCTTTGATCTCACAATGAGAAGGCGGCGTTACAGCCAGACTCTCAATCCGGAGAAGAAACATGTTGTCTCGTCAACTGGGAACCTTTCAAGCCACGACTCGTCACGCGTCGTGATTGAGTGATGCGTGCCAGATGCATGCACCAGCCGACGTTCCGAGCCTGTCTACAAACGGGTAATAAGATTGAGCCCAATGACTGACGCGGCGTTAAGCTCTACGTCATAATGCGGCCTCCATGGCATGGTGGTACACATAGATGCAGGTTTATTCGCTGAGCTATCTACCTGAGCTCACCCTCAACTCCGGTCTTCTTGACAATGTCTCGACACCGGACCCAGGTGGGGCAGGAAGAGCGAGTGCGGTAGATGAAGTACAAGTCTACTATCATTATAGGCTAATTCACGCACAAGTCACCGTCCCTGCTTCACGTTGCTGTGCAGCACAGGGTGGACATTGTCGACTACGAGAGTCGAACTGTCAGGCACAGTACCGGTGACTTGCATATGAATTATTTCACACTGAGACGGACGGGCGCGATACCGACCAGTCAAATTGTGCCGTCAGTTGGCAACCTTCCAAGCCACGGCCTTCCTCTCTCCCTCTCCTTTACTCCCTCTCTCTCTCCTCCCTCCCCCATGCACCAGTCGACTTTCCGAGCCTGTCTACAAACGGGTGATGAGATTGAGCCCAATGACTGACGCGGCCTTAAGCTCTACGTCTGAGAAATGCAACCACACGCATGTACGGCAGCAATCATGGACTCACGCGGTCTGCGGGCAGTCGGATTAACATGAGCAGTTCAAACAACCTATTTGGCACAGCGAAAGTGGGCACAGCTCGTCGTGAAGGTGGAAGAGGAGGGGGGGGGGGCGACGCGCTTTATTTTGAGACTCGGGGCCACGTTATGTCTCCGTATTTTCGTCCATAAACCGTTAGGCCGCGAGCACAGGTCGTTAGGTCACGAGTTTTTAACTTGTTCATAGTTGGTTGTTGTACCAGCACTCTAGCGCTGAACTGGTTCCTTTTTTCTGATGCCCACATATCTGCATCGACTAATGGGTGGAATACATCGTTAACCACAGACCGTCACATATCGACGAGCAACCTTTCATAGAAAATAATTGTTAGGAAAGTTCTCATCTGTTGCACTGGTGTTACCAACCATTCGTATATGAACCATCGAAGTCGTCTTTTTTACATTCGTCAAAAACGCGCGCCATAGAGGGAATCCCGAGAAAACGACGACCAGTTTATTTCAGTCGACTCGAGAAGACGGAATCTGACGGGCAACCTGGTTCTGGTGTAGAAGTTCGCTTTTGTTTTACACTCAGTCAAATTAAGTCACGATTTATAATTTGTGAAGCTTTTGCCTATTTTATCCTGTTACGCATCCTTGACTGCTAGTCCGCGATTGGTGGAAAAGACTCACAAGCCTAACCTGTTAGGGGTTAGAGTTAAGCCCTCTGTTACCACTGGTTCCGCATAGTTTGTTTGATGCGCTATTGAATCCGTCACAACTCGCCAGGAGTCGTAGTTCGAAAGATCTCTAACTGACGGGATAGCTTGGTCCTCTTGGAAGTACTTTGTAGTACCCTGGGGAAATAAGGAGTTAGGCTGCAATGGTCCCTTCATAATCTGGCCTCTATTGCTCTGCGGCGGATGAGAGATCGGAGTCCCCCTCCCCGCATCCTTGACTGCTAGTCTGGAATTGATGGAAAAGACTCAAAAGTCATGATCCCGACTTCCCTTTAATAGTCGTGTGTAAAACCTGTGGGATTCAAAGGAGAATATAAGGTTCTCAAAAGAGGCCGCTCTGAAATGGAATGCGACTACTGACTCATCGTACTCACGGCCTTCAGTCTTAAGGTAATCCTCTGAAGCATCCAGTTCGTGAGCTGATGTCTTCTGCACGTCTTCTTCCAAAGTACATTTACCTCTGAAATCTTTTAGTTCCTTTCATCTTCCTCCGGAAAACACATCTTAGTGTTAGTAGTAGTGAAAATGCGATTCCCGGGTGGCATATCGAAATAAGAGCAGGCGTTCACCGGGAGAGGTTTATTAGAGGTCTGACTTTTTGAGTAGTTGCTTCGTCTGCCCATCTTCTGAGACTGGGAAGTCATGCGCACAGCTCTCCTTGTATGGCGCCCTCTGTTTGATGCGAGGCCTGCCAATGGCGCCTGTGTGGCTACATCCGACCCGCATGTCACCGTGACCTGTCTCGCCCCCGCCCTCGTCGGCCGCGGGGATAGTTGACGACCCCGATGGTCCCGTGCCGTGACTATCCCCCGTTAAGGAGGTTCATAAAGTCGGATTGTGCTGTCCACCGACTGCTCTGTCAACCGTCACGTCAATTTGCCTCCCCCCTATCTGACACCATCAAAGACCATATCAGCTAGAAGTGACTGGCTTCTGAAATAGGGTGCACTTTGCTGGAATCAGTCCAACACCCTAGCATACCCACCATTGTTTTCCCCAAAATACTGTGCGACTGTCTATTTACTACTTAGGAAATAGGCGAAAAGAATTTACAGCAAAGCACTGTCAACTTGGTGAAGTATCCGCTATGCGCTATTGAATCCACCACAACTCGCCAGGAGTCGGGCTTCGAAAGGTCTCTAACTGACGGGATAGCTTGGTCCTCTTGGAAGTATTTTGGTATAGCCTGGGAAAATCAGGAGTTAGGCTGCAATGGTCCTTTTATTATGTGGCCTCTATTGCACTCCTGCGAATGTGACATCGGAGTCTCCCTCCCCCACGAAAGTCCGCTACACGTTGTGATGAAGTCGTGTGTGAAAAGTGTAGACGAGCTGTTTAACTTTGTTAAACACTTCAGTCTTCCTGGCAATGTCTTACTATAGTAACAAAGTCGACGAATAAGGTGAGAGTGAGGTAGATGCTGTGTAAGCCTACTTCGGTAAGGATCTGCTGAATGCCCCTAAAAACTATGGCACACAGAGAATGCCTACTGTACGTGTTTAAGTAGGTCGTCTCTTGTTCGATACTCTCCTAAACATAGAGTTTGCTCTCGTACGTTGCACAACCTGCTTCAATTAAAATAACCCAGGTTAAAGCTGCGGCTGTTGCGCCCACTTCATTGTGTACGCGGTGGACGTCGTCGTTCGCGACGGTTGACTAACAATGGCAGTCGAACTCACGTTTCCCTCATCTTTTATTCGAGCCACCCTCTCGGACATAGACCTTCTGACCACCAACAATCCCTTTCTTTCTCATAGGTAGCTCAAAGGTTTGCCGGCCTGTTGAGACGCAAACTTTGGGCCCTACTGGATGCCTACAGCACTGAGCGGAGCGCCCTCCGGCAGAGCCGCTGTCGCGCGGAGGAGGAGCAGCAACGTCAGTCCGCCCTCATTAGGAGCCTTCGGGAGAGTCTGCAGCTAAGTCAAAATCGTTTGAAGGAGGTGCAATCCTTGACGGTACAAATAATGCACTGTGCTGTCTAGAATACTTCCTTTTTCATATTGACCTAACTGTGGAAAAATCGACGCCTCGGTGGGATTCGAACTCATGACTGCAAGGGGAAGGCTTAAGTACAGCCAACGCTCTAACCACTTGATCAACGAGCCAAAGCATTTATGAATTACGTAAGCCTGGTAGTCATGTGGTTGATTATAGGTGAAGTACTTAGGAAATCCTGCTTGGCCAGTCAACTTACTGTATCAGATTTGGTGGATTCCAGACGTTGCAGTAGGTGGGGTGGGTAAATTGACCCCATTGTGATTAAACTCGCGTCGTCCGGCGGGGCTTCGTAGCTCAAGTAGTTAGAGCGTTGGCTGTACCAAAGCCTTCCTCTTACTGCGTAGGTTCGAATTCCATCGTGACGCCGAGTTTTTCACAACTGGGTCAATATGAATTATTCAAAGTCTGCCAAACCATCTACTTCCTTTTTTGTCTTCAGTTTAAACTACTGATTACTAGGGGGAACTATTCGGAGCAGTTTTTTCCCTCGCGCATTGTCGTCTCTGTATTTAAAACAAAACCATGTCACTTGAAGGAAACCGCCATATCAGTCACTCAAGCAGGATATCGCGAGAATGACCTCTGGTCGAAGAAAAGGACCTTTGGTTTTTCGATCGGGATACCGCGGATGCCGCCATCCAGCGGACCGTCGGACGTGTAGAACACGTCTACTATTCTATTACGACTTAATCGGGTAAATTCTGCTCTGCGGGGCAGGTAAACAATCAGATGCTGTACGCTCGTAAAAACATGCTGTAAGCGGAATGCTGCCACGGTAAGTGTTTAACGTTTTTGAATGTGGGAAGGCGCCGTTGGTCGGTGATGGTGCCGCCATCGCCGTCGCCACAAGGGCGACAAATGAATTCCAAAAGTCTCGTAGTTACCATTGAGGTGCTGCCTCGCCCATTAATCTTAATGTTTCATTTATTAAGCAACAACTGTCGGAGGCAAACTTCACACGTAGACTGCGATTTTTTTATTTCTTTATGCACAAACCACGCCTACCAGTCTATGAACTTTTTTGCACTTCGTCGTCTAAGTGAACGCAGGCTGATAAGAAAAGACCTTCATTTTAGATCGTGTAGCTTCACCATTGCGCCCATGAGCAGGAAATGCGGCATCAAGGCTTCTATCTTTCCCGCCTATCGTTGGAAATGTTAACTGACTGACGACCTACAAGTCGCTACAGTCTCCTACTGTCGCATATCTGGAACGAAGCGTTGTGTTACAGTTGGTTTGTGAACGCCTGCTAACCGTGGCTCTCGCAGCCTGGTGTGCTTTGGCTGTTTTCTGGCACTTGGTTCCCTGCCGGCAGATCCGTTTGCGCCCCTGCGAGCATGGCTGCCCAGTCATTCGCGTCCTTCTGACTTGTTGTGGTGCCGTTGTTGGTATGAATCCTGGTCAGATGTTTGTTGTTGACTAGGGGCTGTGGTGGTACGCCTATGTGCAGGTCCGGCCGTGCCAGTCACGGGCGCCCTCTCCCGCCCCCGTTCATCATGACTTTATCTTAATACCAGGTCCAGGTGGGGAGGGTAGAGTGCGGTAGATGCTGCGCAAGTCTATTCTCACCGTAAAATAACCCGCGCGCAAGTCACCGTGCCTGCTTCATCTTGCTGTGGAGCATCGTTGAGCACGATGATCGAACCGGCATGCTACGTCGTCCACTTTTCAGTCAGTCAGGTCAGGTTGAGTGAAGGGTGTGTAACGCCCCAGGGGAGTTGTCCAAGAGTCTGTCTTTTAGTTAGGCGTGGTCCAATAAGAGGTGTCTGGCAACAAGTCGCGACATAGACTATGCGATATGCATATTTTCAATTTCACGAGCGTTCTTGACGTTAAATTAGAGAAAGTCGGGCTCAAATGGTAGGAGTAGTGGTGGGGATTTGGTTACCTTAGGACCAGGGTCGCCAGGCCTGGGTTACGGTTTAGAATTGGGGTTGAGCTTAGGGTTGGTGTCTTTGGTTAAGAGTTAGGCCTATAGATAAGACTTTAAGGCCCCGGTTGAAGTTACGGTTACGTTAGAGTTTTGTTTAACGACCTAAGGGTTAGTTTGCCCATTACAGGCATGGTAACGGTCAGGGTGATGATTGTATCCAACCACAGATTTCACAGGGGGTTACATATCGTGCCCTCGTCCAAGTCAGTTCTAAACGAAGGGGTGACGAAGTACAGTTTGTAGTACAATTCCAATAATGAACATTTTTACCGACAAAGACGAGGACAATAAAGACATTCAATAGGAAAAACCAGGGATTTGAACTAGAATCAGTCATTGCCTATACCGGACCCCATGTCCCGTTGGTCACTTGTCTATTCTGATTACAGTGTGCGAAGAAAGCGATGACTTTAGAACTAAACACCAGCTAATTCTCATCTGTCTCAATGACTCTACGACAACTCCGTCGCACCCTGTCTGTTCAACAAACATTATTGTGGAACCAGATTTTTTGCAACCGCAGAGCGTGTAATCGAGTTTTAGTGGTTTGCGTTTTCCTGTGGTCCTCCAAAAATAGAACGGAGTCTGCAATGCTGAACTGCACAAGTTACTTTACGAACTTGCTTCTCAGGGTCGTTTCCGGAGCACTGCTCATTCGATTGCCTTTCATCTGACTTTTCCCCTGTGCGGTATCAACGCCGCGTGGGCGGAGATGTCATTGATTTTCTGATTGGCTAGGCACCGAAGAAAATGCTCGTCAGCATCAGTGTTGACCTTCGCCTCTTAACAATCATTGCTACCCTCGAGATGTACATCATCTCAATTCGAATTTCATTTTCAATGAGGACTGTTTGGAGGATGTGTCCCCCCCCTTATGAATTTGAGTATTGATCATTGCAGCCGACAGCATGCTAACTCCCGGAGCCCAGACGTAAAGCCCGATAGCCGATGACTTCGAGTTTGGACCCCGTGTTTTTTCCAGCTTATGCTGCCTGACTGCAATAAATAAACAACCGCGGCGAAAAATGGACGCCCGCGTTAGAAGGGCAAAGCCAGTACAAAAGCTCATTTCTGCATATGCGACTTACCCTAGTGCCAGCACATGTTCTTCCTAAAATCTCTCTCTCTGCAAAGGCATGCGGTAAAAATTTGCCGTCTATAATTTATTCGCCATCTTATGCAGTAGGAGGATTAACCCATGAAATGTTAACCGAAATTCTCAAATGCGTTTTCGACAAAAAAGATTACTTAAGTAGGGTTTTTAAATTAATCACCATGCAGCATAATTCTATAATAATTCAGTTACCTCGGGATGCTGGCTTTCGAACGAACATCTCTTCAACCGTATACAAAAACCACACTCTGCAAAAAATGGCTACTTAAGTAGCATGGAATTTTCTCATTGATTCTAGATGCCCTTAAAAATTCAATTATATTTAATGGAAAACTTGCATAAAAATATTCATTCTTTTTTTATTCAGTAGAAAATTACGTCTTTTAATTTCATACTCGATGGAGGGTTTTAATTCGCTTTTAAAAAAGTTTCTAATTATGAGATTTTTCAATACCGTGAAATGCCCGTCCATCAAATATCGTGTCTCTGCATTTACTTATGTTGCTTGTAAAGTTGACAATACGGCTGAAATTCACTGCTAACGTTTGTGAACCCTATATGGTCTCCTTTTAATGCCGTAGGGGAATCTATGGTTTTCCGTACGCAGCAAATATGTGGTTTGTGGCTTGTAAATCCTGAATGCAAGTGTAACGGCAGGTCGGGTAGAATATTATTCGGGAATCGCGAAAGTTTTTTGAAAACTGAATTATACCCTTCCTTCGAGTATAAAACTGGAAGACGTAATTTTCTACTGAGTGAGTAAAAGAATGAATATTTATATGCATGTTTTCCATGAAATATCATTGGATTTCTAGGGGCATCAAGAATCAGTGAGAAAAATCCGTGCTATTTATGTAGTCATTTTTTTACAGAGTGTGGTTTTTGCCCGCGACTGGAGAGATGTTCGTTCGAAAGCCAGCATCCTTAGGTAACTGAAGTATTATAGGATTAAGCTGCGCGATGACTAATTTAAAAGCCCTACTTAAATAATCTTTTCGCGTCGAAATAGCATTTCAGAATTCTGGTTAACATTTCATGAGATAGCCCACCTAGTGTACATTTGTACCTCAGCGCTATGTCAGGTGGACCTGAAGCAGAACCGGAGCCTCTGAGCTTCTTTCATCCTTCATCAAACAAACTCACCGCATTTAAAAACCAGTGTTCACCCACGCAGCCTGCCTGTACAGAAAAGACACTCCGGTGTGCCATACAAGACCCTGTCAGCAGTTACAGTTGGTGGCGTATCTCATGGAAAATTTGTATAAATTCAAGAAGGTGATTTCGATTCGCAAGGTTTACTTGTTAGTATTACATATTATATAGCATGGTTTTGAGATTTTTCAGTCACGCCATGATGCCGGCTTTTGAAGGCATGCCTTCCGGCTCTTGTAAAAATCACTATAGCTGAGAATGAGTACTTATTTGACATGATTTTTCCGTCGGTCTTTGGTTTTCGCATAAATTCAAAGTGCGTAATAGAGAGCATGCACGGAAAATTCTATTCTTTTTTTCTCTTTGTCACAACTTGAGCCTTCTTCAAATTTCCTACTCGAAGAAAATATACCTAGTAGTTTCGAAAGATTTTAGTTTGCAAATAATTTTGTTTCGTACCTGACTTTGCACTTGCATTCGCTGCTGCAGAACCACAAACTATGCACTTTCCGCTCGGGACATATAGTGCATTCCTCTATGCTGCTAAGATGTCTCAGGTAGACCACACTGTATACGTCACGAAGAGAATAAACGATAAGTTAGTATGATATTTTGACGGAAACTTAATGTTCTTGGGAAATCTTATAATTGAAATCTTACAACGGTAGGATGTGTAACCCCACCTCTTAACTAAAGTTAACCGTCTTATTATTGTTTATGAAAGGAACTATGCACAACTATTCCTGAAGAAATAAATAAGTCAGACGGACGCGTTTGACAACAGAAACCGTTCATAGATATTGAGGAAGCAGAGCCTTTGTGTTTTAACCCAGGCAAAGTAAATCAAAACTCATCCGGCGTTCCTGGCAGCAATGCGTAGTATGGTGAGTGCCGACATGGCACAAAGAGGTTTAACTACTCTTCCGGAAGAAATAAGTAAGTTACAGCGTTCGGGGTCGACAACGAAAGGCAATGCAAGTACATTAGGTGGCCAGGAAATTGAGCTCAGAAAAAGGGATTACGGGGAGGGGAAGCAAGAACATAATTGCTAAAAAGTCATACCGAAGACGAAGGTATAATTTATTACACAATGAGTACGTCAGAGGATAGCTTCATAAAAATTTTTACCTAAGTCATGGCCAGATTTGTAGACTGCTAGAAAAAGAATTTTTCAAAATACTTATTATTTAAGGAACTTTTTTCATCAAGTGCACATTTTGCTGGTGGTCGAAAAACATGCACTGAACAGTTGACATCCTGATATGACCAAAATATATTAAATTATACTACATGATATTCGATCTTACAGCACTTCCAATTTATAACCGAAATTGCATTTCAGGAGTCCGGTCAATGTTTCGTGAGATACTTCGTCGATTCTAGGTGCTTTCCTTTTTTTCAAGCAAGCCGAATTTTCAGACGACGGTCTGCCTTGGGCTTCTTTGATTTGTTTTTATTTCAAATCATCACAAACTACTTTATCCCTCACGGGGAGGTCATCCACGCATTGTAGGCACCCTGTCCTTTTGCTACCAATCTCGCGATAACTTTTTTCACTTTACCGAAAACGAAAGACGAAGAAGGACTCCGAGAATACGGCCCTGCTTGAGGCGACCCAGCGGCTGCAGGCCGAACTGGACTCCCAACGAACCCGTCTGCGGGTTCTCCTGCAAGAGAGACGTCTCTCTACCGCCCAACTGCAGACTCTCCGTGCAACTGTAGATGCCCTTCAGCTGGCATCACAGACAGCCGAGGAGGAGAAAAGAGCGCTGCAGAATTCTCTTAGTGTAAGCTAGCCTATCTTTATTCGCATGGAGCAATTAAGAAGACTGTTTGGCGAGTATACGCGTGCATTCGATGAATTCTCACCTGCCCTGTACGAGACACAAACTGAAGCGTGTGAGCGATAAGTTCAATCGATTGCGGTTCGTCTTTTCATACAAACGAGGTATGTGAATAGAGAGGGGAGGGGGGAGAGTGGAGGCAGCAAGTGATAGTGAGGGTTAGGTAGAGACGTGCCACAAGCGGGGGGAGTGAAGGGGACCGGGTTGCGGAGACATTTAATCGATCCTTGCCCACGACAGACGCGGAGCGTGCAAGAGGGTTCATCTGCGCGCACAGGACCGGCCTCTGTGGCCTGCTGGCAGTCGCCTCTGCTGTTGCTAGTAAGTGCTGACCAAATCGCTTGGGGATAGTTAGGTGGGGCCTCGTAACTTGCACGGAAGGCTTCGTTGGGATCCACACGATGCGCAGGACCAACCATGTGTGCGAGGATGGAGCTGGGTATGCTGTTAACTTTACCTTTCCTCAGCTATGCCGGCGGATGTTCTGGTATTCGTGTTCTCGTTATCCGCGTTCCGGTGTTTTGAGGCAGATTTTAAAAAGTGGTCGGACAGGGAGATTTGGATACCACGTTGTACAGGTGGCTTTGCGATAAGTTTCGGAAGAACATCTATTCTCGTGTCTTCCTTTCTACACTTATCCCCCCTGAAACTTCCGACAAAGCCGCCTGGAATATGCGGCGGTCCATATTCCTGTTTTCAACCGTTTAAATTTTACAGAAAACCGTCGACCGACCCCTGTTAAACGTACAAATTTAAGCGATTGTCATCAGACGTTTGCTTAAGTGTGTGAGTGCAGTTACATGTCAGAAAGAGTACAGTTCTTGTTTTTGACCTCGCTGCGAATCTAGTCACAATCTCCTGTACTTTTTCCGCCAGCTTTTGTGGCAGAATAATATGTTCATCTTACTTTTCTTACTTATACAAAACGCCTCATTGGATACAACGAAACTGGAAGGATTCAGGTTCATTCATTGCTTGTAGTGGACCAACTGTTTGGTGGCGCTCGACTTTCCAGACCGTCACTTCCGATTATCCGATTATCACTAATTAGCTGGCGAATACGGTATACTTCGTCGAGGTGGGATTATGATTTGTCATACTTGGATTTATGCATAAATGAACTAATTCTGCTTGGAATATTTGTAAAAGAGCTGAACAATTTCACCCCACAGACAGCATAGACATTCCTGATCATTGTACTGATGAGGTCTTTATTTTAACAAATGGACAAATTGATCTGACTGAATTTCCGCTGAGGCTAAGCCCATTTATTCCTTTTCACATTTCATATTGGGAAGTGAAGTGAGAAATTCACTTTCCGTGTTAAACGTACTGAAAGCAGACATAATCAGCCGTTTCGTCCAATAGTTTTGATGTAGCGTAAGTGTGGGAAATCCGCTAGTTCTCACGTTTTCACGCCTTCGATCAAAAAAATCAGCTTAGGACATCTAGCGGAAGGTGGACGCCAAGTTAGCCTAAACGAGGGATTTATAATAGTCCATCAAAAACAGCGTTCCAAATGGAGCCACGGCGACGGCGTATCCCGACCATGCCAGTAAAAGGTGTCATACAAAGAAGACCCAGCCGCCTGAACTCAGAAGATCTTGGTACAGGCTCATTGATTACCCAGGTCTTACACCCGCATTAACTATCCCCCGTGTTCACTGACCCTCGACCTATAGAGGTACACTCAAGCGTCACTCTAAAAGTCCATTCTCTTAATTGCCCTTCGTTACTGGCCTAGCCATCCAGCACGGAGGCTCGTATCCCTCCCCAGTCAACCTCAAACGTCCATCCACGACCAACGGGACAAAGCCATATAATCGGAGTGACCCTATGGCAGTCTGTTTATGGTAAATTATACGTTTATATCTGGCGAAAGACTCAGTTCTCACGTACAGCCTCTCTGTGCCGTCATACAAACGATGCACAGGCCAACCTTGCTGGGGAAGATCCTGATTTAGATATTATCAAAAAGTTCATCACCAAACTGTGCGGACGATTCGCGTGCTTCCTACTCCAGCTACTTTCTACAGAATGCATTTGCTGTTCGACTGCCCCCCCCCCCCGCTTAGTCTCGTAATCGGGAGTTGACCTGTGCATCTGTTATGACCCTGCCCGGTACTTGAAAGCACGTGGGAGCGTATGCGTACCGACCCTTGTCCCAAATACCAACGCGGCAGAGAAGGAGAACGCGACCGGCCACGAAAATGTGTATTAGGAAATTGCAAGTTAAAATTAACTAGATGTAACGCATATTTATAACGCCCTTCTGTGGTTCGCCGGCATTCGGCCCAATGCCCTTCGGGAAGAACATTCCAGACGAGCCGGTCGGTAATTCGAATATGCAGATCGATCAGACCCGAGGGGAAGAGCCAATGGAGAGGCGCCGCGATTAAGATGACAGCGCAGCAGAGAAAACGCACGTGGTCTCCAGTGATTGGCTGGTTCTTGTTTTTGCGAGTGTAGCCACTCTCAACAGGATCGTGACACTTCGATCACCGCAAGCGACGACTCCTAGCAACTGTCCCACAGAGGGGGAACGGTTTCAGTGGCCTGTACGTGAATCAGTTTATGGTGGGACAGACTTGCACAGCATCTGCCGCACTTTCTCTTCCCACATCCACCTTGGCCCGATGTTCAGACAGTGTCAAGGCAATCGGAAGTGGCCTTGGGGTCATAGAGCTTAGGTTTGGCGGATCCGTGATGGTGCTTGTTGGATCTCCACTTATGGGATTTTGTTGGAATCGTGCCTTTGTGCGCGGGATGCTTGGACGTAGTCAAGAAGGAAAGCCCCGAGTTCGTGATCTTGTGAAGTTTGTATGAGCGTCGTACATCCGCACAAACGAATCATCCCCATATTAAACTGATGTGCGCCGTAGTAATCAAACCTATAACAATGCCTAATTAACGCGCACGCTCTGCGTGACTGCCATCCGCTGTTATTCTGTGTCATCGGGCTCTAACCTTTCGCACGTAATCAGAAAAATAAAAACATACTACCTACTTTGTTAAAGTAGCGAGATTCGTGTAAATGTGGATAATCAACCGTCGCTGGAGTGGGTGGCTATAAGCCAATTCTGCCCACAGGCGCACGGCTGTCCAAAACAAAAACGACTGGCGTAATCTCGTCAGCCGCTCCAAATGAACTTACCCCCTGCGAGTCTCATTCTTCAGGCATCCATATGCACCTGGCCATAACTTACTCTGGAACTAAGGTGCGCCCACGATCTCAGCTGCTACGACAGTCTCTATTCCACCCCCACGTACCCTACGCTCTCTAGCCTTACTGATCCGGTAGACTGCGCTTAGTATTTCGTCTCCATCATGTCCGGTTCTTTCTTTCTATTGTTTCTCTATCTACAGCAATATATCGCTACTTCCGTTTCCCTATCAATCTCTCGGTAATGATATGCCTTCTGTGTTTAGCCAGATGCAATTATCTACCCAAATATTTTTTAGCTATATGTGCAACTGCGCCAACTTTTGCTTAGTTGACTTCCATGAAACGATGAGTTAGTAAATCGAGGCGCAAGTACAAACGCGCATATACCTCTGCACAGGTGCGTTATTCGTCAAAACTTCTGGCCTATTTGCAATGACAAGCGAGGCTACTGAGTTTGGGGTTGGCCTTTAAATATTCCTGGACATCATGCCGTTCTGACTGTCCCTGAGTAGTTGCCAGAAAAGCTGCTCTCCTTGTAGACCTCTGCTGTTTCGCCGGCTAGCAAATTCTCTTCCAAATGAGGGTCTGCGACAAACACACTCTCGAAGAAACCAAAAGTCGTCCTGTGCTGCAAATGTTTTGTGCTGTGGTATTTTATGTACAGTCCCAAAAAATCTGGACGAATCTTCTGATGCAATTCGTGTGTTTAACGGAAACACTGTTGTCCTGATGGTTTGCAAAACGTCTCCGTACTCCTAACCTATTTCTAGGTGCTCTAGTGTCAATGAGAATATTTCGGTGAGTGACCTCGCTGGTGGTAGGGGTCGCTCACCGATCGTTCTTAAGGAATTCAATCGTTCCGTAAGAACGATCCGTGAGCGGCTCCTACCACTTTATATTCCCGATCGAAAACCGACAGGGCAACGGGTTTGTGGTTCAGTGGTTAGAGGCGTGGACTTCTAACAAACAGGTCGCAAGTTCGAGCCTCGAGTGTGCCACACTTCAGGGTTGGGTATGACTGGCTGACGACGGCTAATAAGCCAGAAATGGCCATTCCAGTCTCCCTTGCCTTTGTCGGTAATATTATTCTGACCGCGGTGGTGCTAAACGAGCTCTCAAAGGACTAATTTGATGGCCGTTTTGTCTGCAAAGTATGCATCCAATAAAGGTAAACTGTGGGAAAGCATATTTTCAACCTCACGTCGCACTTTGCTGACATTCGAAGAATATTCGTCTGGGCCCGAGAACCAGCGGTGTGACCATGAGACGTAATGGACTCTGGGCTGTGCCGATCTGCTCGTGTATTAAGTCGTCTTTCCGTCTTACAGATTAATGAACCACAAAAAATCAAAAAAAGTGGCCGAAGTCCTCAAATGTGACTGTAGGTTGAAAGTGCCTGTGAGATGAAGGGACAGTGCAGATAGTCGCAGGGCTTCATATCAGCTGATTATACAGTGCGTGACCGATCTCATGAAATTTTGGCCTAAATTCTGGAATGCGTTTTCGATTAGTAAGAATTACCTATTTGGGGTTGTAATAGTAATTATCATACGACATAATCCCATCGTATTTCAGACTCGCCAAGGTGTCATTTCTTTAATGCATTCTTTTTTTGACATGCAGAAACCTCACTCGGTAAAAATGGCCACTTGAGTAGCATGCATTATTTGTAATGATTTTCAGTAGTCTTGCAAATTCGAATGCATTTTATAGAAAACATGCAAAAAAATATGGTTTTTACTTGGTTGGTATAAAATCACATTGTCTTTCTATCTCATACCCGAAAAAGTGTATACTTTGGTTTTATAAAGTTTCCAAATTCCCAAATATTTTTCAGCCTGATCGGCCATTAAATCAGCGTTTAGCAATTTGGGTCTACAAGGTGTATGCCTTCCGCGTAATGAAAATCTTACACTCCTCTATGGCTATAACAAGATGCTATATAGGGTTCATAAAATTCCGCAACGGATTCGGGCTACTTGTACATCCCATGAGGAGAATTGGTAAACGTACATGTGCGATGCTGTATATGCGGACACCACACGGTTTTAAAAACCTCATAATTAAAAACCCTTTAAAACCCAAATATGCACTTTCTTTGGGTATAAATACGAAGACAATGTGATTCTCTACCAAACGAATAAAAGAAAGCCCATTTTTGTGCATGTTTTCTACAAAATGCATTTGAATTTATAAGACCATCGAAAATACCTATGAAAAATGCATGCCACTTAAGTAGTCATTTTTTACGAAGTGTGGTTTCTGCAGGAGGTCAAAAGGAGTTCATTCAAAAGCCGACATCCTGACGAGTTCGAAATACTATAGGATTTTGCTGCATGATAATCAGTATTGCAACTTCACCTAAGTAATCCTTCCTAATCAAAAACGTATTTCAGAGTTTCAGCCAACAGTTCGATCACGCAGTGTATGTTGGCCTTCGCTTTTCGATTTTACGAACAAGGAAATTACTCCCCAAGAAATCCATGTTTTTCGATCGATTTTCGGCAATTTACCAGTCGTATCTGTCTTCTAGAGAATCGCGCCTCCCTGAAATCTACTTGTAAAATTCTGAAAATATTATATCCTCAAAAGCGGTTTTATTCTAGGATTCTTGAGGCACCTGATTCAATGAATATATAGCGCGATAACGCAAACATGGGAACTAAGTACACGGATTGTTTTCCAGAAGTTTATAACTTTGCTCCTGGAAACGTTCGAGGAATGCATCATGTTTAGTCATCAGAAGAAACGAAGGCAGGGAATGAGGAGTAAGTTGTAGGTGAGGGATTACGAGAATAACCCCAATGTTTTCATGTCCCGGCCGCTAGAGCTGATCGAGGGGGCATGATCATAGTTCAGAAATATTGCCGTCGCTAACGCTGCTGTCGTGCTAAACCTCTCCTTGAGATTTTTAATGAACCGCCATGATAGCCTCCTTTTAGAAAAAAAAACATTTATCCTCTCAGAAAGTCATTTTTCCCCACTTCAATTTAAGGCGACTCTCCCTCAACCTGGAACCATCTACGGTGTCCATAAAAAATATGCAGAACAGTCAGTATTAAATCTGCTTTTGAAGTTCCCAGAGTGGATGTAGTCAGAAAATGCATTGACCGTCTACATTGCAGGTCCAAGTGAAAAAATACGAAGGCCTACTGATGAATGTGTGTTTTGCAGTCTCTGACTGTGCCTTGGAGATATTCGTGCGCTCTCAGGACGGAAATGCCTTAGACGCCAGAGCACCTTCGACTCGCTGTTCCTCTGCTCTTTCCAGTATTGGTAAGATCATCTTCCCCGCTCTGCCAAATCCCCTGTCCTCAAGTACAAAGTGTAGTTACACTTCCTTCCTTTTCTACCTACCTCTACGTCCTCCAGATTCCGGTCGTGTATCTGAGAATGCAACCAAGTGCGCTGCCGGGCTTCTAAACCTCTCACAGGAGGCGGTGTCAGATCTCATCGCGCTGAGGCCAAGGCTGTCTGCTCTCGCCCCCAGTGGGCATCCCTGCCTCACCGACCGATGTACCGCGCAGGCAATTGTTGCTGCGCTTAAGTGGCCAAAGGCCTGTCAGGTCCGCCTGGAAAAAGTAAGCGTTTTGACCACTTAAGCTGGACGTTTCTTGTATGTTGCAACAAGCTGAATTTCGTAAGCAGGCTGGTCCGGGGAAAAATGTAGGCAACTGACCTGCTTGTTTTGTCCCTGACGTCTCTTTTTCGTCGGATGAGAAGCGGAACCTGTTTTAGGTTGGAAAATTGCAAGGGAGGGGGAACTTTTGTGGATTAGACGACTTCCGGAATAGAATAATTATGAACAACAGAAACAATCATAACTGACTAAACGCGTCAGACGTTTGGCTGTAATGACTTAAGTTGTCACCCAAACCAATCGCAATGATCTCAAACGGAGACAAGGACCGATGCTGCCTATGAGAGGAAGTCTTATCGAAACGTGTGATTAATGAGCAGCAAAGTGAGGAGATAGGCGGTTTCGGGATACTCAGTAGATAATCACTACTTAAGTAGCACGGAATTTTACCTATTGATTTTCGATGCCTTTGTAAATTCGGTTATATTTTATGGAAAACGTGCGCAAAAACATTCGTTGTTGCACGTATGTGTTAAAAAATAACATCCTCATATATTTAACTTGGAGCGAGAGTATTTATCAATTTTCAAAAGCTATTCGTTTCCTTAATAATTTTTTTCTCACCTATCTGTAAGCTTGCATTCAGGGTTTACAAACTACATCTTATATACATTGCGTCGAAAAGCTATAACACATTTCTCCACGCTGTTCGGAAGATGTCATATAGGACTCATAAAGTTGTGCATAAAGTTTTGCATGTTTTTCAAAAATATAGTGGAATTTATAAGAAAATCCAAATTTAATGCAAAAAAATCATACTACTCGGGTGGTCATTTTTAACAAGTGCTGTCTTAAGAAGCGGCCGGGAAAAGGCTAGTTCAGAGGCCTGCATTCTGTTTGACCCGAAATGTCTTAGATTTATCCCGCGCATTTATTAATATCACAACCCTATTTAACCAATCTTTTCGAATAGGAAACATATTTGAGAATGTTGGTTAACCTTTTTATTAAAGAGCACATTTGATGTATTTATGTCAAATATTTCGTCAAAATTAGTAAAGCAGCGAGTATTAAATGTTTCGCAGGAATTCATCCTGGGCGATATGGGCGCTTGCTGTTATCACAACGCATATTACGTGAACGCGTTTACGGTTTCGCACAAATGGAAGGGTTTTAAAGCTCAAATCAGTAAAAATCGGGAGATGGCACCCAAAAAAATCCGTTACCCAGAAACAATACCTTTAACAGTGAACTCAAACGCCTTCAGGCTATCTCAGCGGTTGCAGGCCTACTTTCACACATTACGTGGACATTCTGCGACGGCCTAGCATGAGCTGGCCGAACGAACATCGCAGGAGGTTACATGGACGATGGTCGCCGTTACCCAACCTTCCCCATCGTTATACACGTACACCTGAATATACGCCATACATTCACATTATTGTAGTTTATTACAAAACAAAAACACTTTTAAATAGGATACGTCTGCACAGCATGGGAACGGAAAAATTCCCAGGTATCTGTCAAAGACATAGTATTGAGGTCAAACCAAAGACGATACTGTACTTCGTCTGTGTGAGCCCACACAGCTTGACCACATACAGGGCCTCCCTTGTGGAGTTTCCTTTTCAGTCTACTCCAGTATGCCTCAATGGCATTGGCGTGCCGTCCGGTGTTAGGGTCCTTGAAGTTCTTTGAATGGTTAACAGAGAAATGTAGATAACCTTCTGAGGGAAGACGATTATACATCTTGTCCTCGTCCGTTACTACTATACTGCCTTTGGCGACCCATTTTGTAATAACGGAACGGAGAGCGGAAAATAATTACACAGTTCTAGACTGTTGGCTACTTGTTGGCGGGTTGTGAATATTCCGCAGTTATTCCGCAGTAGCTGATGCATTTCGGTTCAAATATCCATATGAACTTTCCGAAAAGGTCTGTTCCAAAGAATTTTCTCCAAGTTAGCCCATTTTTTCCCTCGGAAATTAATCAAGGCAAGGTAAAACTGGAGTACATATACCAGAAAAAAATACGGGGAAGGTTGGCGGACCCGTTGGTGAGCCTCGCGTCTGCGTCAGGCAGCGGCACAAGATCGGCGAACACGCTTGTCTGGGCTCGCGTGTTTACTGGTATATGAACTCCAGTTTCATCCTGCCTTGTATAGTAAAGAATCACATAGTTGTATACTACCGGTTGCCTGTTAGCAGTTTGTGAATATTTGGCGATTATTTCGAAGTGGCTGATGGATAGTAGCTTAGATATTTCTATCAAACTTCGGACCGTGCTAGAAAAGGTATGTTCTGAACAATTTACTCTAAGTCCGCGCATTAAGTTCCTCAGAAATTAAACATTGCAAGGCAAAACTGGAGTTCCCATGCCAGCAAACACACGGGGAAGGCTGGAGAACCCATTGATGAGCCGAACGCCTCGCGGCTGCATCAGGCAGCGGCGCAAGATCGGCGAACACGCGTGTCTGAACTTTTAACTGGTACCTGTGTTGTCGGTATGGTAAATAATGGCACAAATCAAGCACGGCGATTTGACGCTCCAAATATGCCGGCATTAGTAGTTCCTTTACTGTCGCACGTAACGGCCATTCCTGCGGTCTTTCCTGCTACTTCGTTACTCGTCTCCATTCTTCTAGTCATATTTAGTTTCATAATGATATTTTCCACCCAAATCGCAAAACATGCCGTCACAGTCATATCGAGGAAGGGAATAATCCTATATTGCATGATTTCCAAATAAGCTGTATTTCCAATGTAGAAACGCCTTAGATAGTAGCCAAGTGAGAAACGTTTTCGCTGAGATTCATAATGGTTTATTTCCTACACGCCGGATAAGTGTTAGACAACTGGTGACGTTATTCGGAGTCGGGGTTGTTTCTCTTCGTCAAATCAGCTATTGGAGAAATATGCTGAATGAAACTGCTGTTCAGAATATAAAAATGATTATCAATTAGAATTGTCGGACGTGAGTAGCAATAGTATGGGTGTTTGCCCCTGGCCCCAAACCTTCAGGAGAAGTCGACTTAAATGTATTAGGACTAATTGCGATGGAACGGTTGGTCCAAAGGGCAAGGGACCGTGAAGAAGAGTCAACAGAACAAAGAGTGTGAATGTGGCAAGCACCTACTCCCTATTTAGAAACTTCCAAATGTGACAGTGGGCAGTGCTCTGGTGATTGGAACCTTCGTCATTCGTGTGCTCTCTTCAGCCCTCACAGTTTCAGAGGCTCTGAAGGCCCCGAGAGCCCTGTTTTGTTAACATGCAGAACTGTGGCTTGCCTGATCGTCAGCGACTCTCGTCCCTCGACCACCCCTGTCTCTTGTGCGGGATGCTCTGGCGTTAAAACATCCGACAGAACCTTTTTCTTCGAATTTTGCTTGATGCTGTCTGGTGCCTTGTATCGCGCGAGCCAAGCCGTTCCATCTTTTTTGCTGGTAACCCCCTCATTTTTATGAATTTTTCAGTCACTAGTCTGTGATTATTGACTGAGTCCCGTTTTGTTGAATGTGAGCAAACGGCGCTCAAAATTCATCTGCTGTACCATTAAAATATCATTTTTTAATATTTGATGTCTACAGTTTTTTGACATGGTCAGCCAATATGTGACAGAGGATTCATTTTCTCACGAAAGCAATGTTACAGTGCACATAATTAAGTTTTATGGCATTGGTTAATAAAAAAAATTCGTTTGCCATTTTTCCTTTTTTTAACTCCACACTAGCACTCGTCGGGGGTATTTGCTTCACATCCCAAGGGCGAAAAATGGGAATCGAATTTCCGTTTCTCACCTGGCCTAAATCTAATGGCGACCGATTTTTTTTGAATTCTCAACCTCTCGCCATTCCTTATCTATTAGTTTTTCGTTTTTTTTAACTGAAAAGCTAAGAGTCCCCGTCCAACGGGTGGATGAAATCTCCTTTTTCCCCAGTTTGCGTATTTCACGACCTGATCAATTGCCCTAAACTGGTGACTTTGTTTTTAACTTTCCCGCCTGATCTTATGGATTGTCTTCGCAGCTTCCGGTGTCACTGTGAGCGTCTTAGCGAAATTATTTAAAGCCACTAATTCATATCTGTGACGTAAATCGTGTCCACTCAAACTGTAATGTTCACAAAATAAGCCCATTCGGAATAACTTATTCTTTTCCTATCGTGTAGAAAATGCATTGACGTACTACTGTGTATTTCATTCGTTTACTGCGCACGACTATTCTCCATGCTGCCTTTAAATAGAAAGTTCCGGTTTTTAAAGCAGAGCTTTGGGACCTGACATCTAAGCTGCTCATACAACTTGCTGTTCTGTTTTTAACTTGATAGCTTTCATATACGACTGCAAGTCATTCTTCATGGTGTATACGTCTTTTACTGACATATCGGGGTTTTTAGGCTACTTATTTTTTCATGAAATTAGTAAAGCAAGCTGCATTTTTAGGATTTGTAATTATTAAATGTTTTGAGGACTTAATGTTTTCAAACGGGAAGTTGGATATCATTTTCTGATGATGTGGATTGCGAAAATACGAATTTGCCGACATCCTGTAATGCCTCCATTATGCGACGCACTCGAACCGCATTTAAGGACTGCACGACAGTTTATGTAATTAAGCAGTACTTGCGGCTAATTTATCTCACTCGGCCTAGAGAATAGTCCGAGCGTAAGGTAATCCCTGGCATCTCGGTTTTTAGATGTGTGCTTAAGTGTACTTGTAACTCTTGTCTGTAGGCGTTCTAACATTTCCATCAAAAAATGTAGTAGGTAGACTAATTCATGAAATGTCAACCAAAATTCAGAAATGTATTTTCGTTTCAGAAAGATTAATTAAGTGGAGTTGTAAAAGCAATCATCTTGCAGCATAATTCTATAATAAATCAGTCACCTCAGAATTTCGGCTTTCAAATGGACCTCTTTTCTTCTGCATACAGAAACTATATTCTGCAAAAAATGACTACTAAATTAACATGCATTTTTGCAGTGATTTTTGATTCTCTCAAAAATGCAATTATCTTTCATAGAAAACATGTATACAAATATTCATTCCTGTGCTCATTGAGTAGAAATTACGTCTTCTTCCAATTTTATACTCAACATGGGGGCATAATTCAGTTTTAAAAAGTCTCTAATTATGTGATTTTTTGATACCGTGCATTGCCCGTTCATAAAACATCAGGCAAAAGAATGAATATTTTCATACATGTTTTTTATGAAACAATTGAACCTAACCAATGTGGCTTGTAAAGTTGGCAATATAGCTCAAATCCACTGTTACATTTTATGAGTACCATATAGTCTCCTCTTAATACCGTAGAGAAACGTATAATTTTCCGTACACGGAAAATACGCAGTCTGTAGTTTGGAAACCCTGAATGCAGGTGTAACGGCAAGTCGGGTTCAAAATTACTCGGGAATAAGAAAAGTTTTTTTAAAACTGATTTTTACCCTTCCTTGGAGTTTTAAATTGAAAGAGGATGTAATTTTTCGCCAAGTGAGTAAAAGGGTGAATATTTTTATGCATGTTCTCTATGAAATATAATTGAACTCATGGGGCATCGGAAATCAAAGAGAAAATTTGATGGTACATAAATAGACATTTTTTACAGAGTTTGAATTTTGAATTCAGCCGGAAAGAAGTTCATTCGAAAGCCGGCATCCTGAGGTAACTGAAATGTTCTAGACTTATGTTGCACGCTGTCTGGTTCACAACCCTACTTAATTAATCTTTTCGAAGCGAAAACGCATTTAGGAATTTTGGTTGACATTTCATGAGTTAATCCACCTATTGTGTCTAGGGTTTCGTATATTTTCCGAGTAACGTATAAAGGAGCAGTCATGTCCTTTTGGGCGGCGTACATGGTAGTTTATTTTTGAACCTTAAATATTAGGAGACCGTAACGCAAGTTTGAACAATCTAATATGTACACAAATTTTCGGAGAGAGGCCATTTTACATGGTAACATATGATTATTAAAAAATGGCGTTTTCAACTGTGTTCCAGGAAGTGCTTTCTTTCCGTCAAAAATAAACCCGGGAGTTATAATACCGAATTATCGATTGACTCATGGGCGTGTCCACATCACATGCTTGAGTGGGTTCTCCGTTTAAATTCTCCGTTTCCCGGTGTGCTGAAATATATTTTGATGACATCCTATGAATATGAGCTTGGTAACTCTGGTAAAGTAATAATTTGTGCTTGAAATCACACCCCAGAAACTTCGGTGGGCCCTCGTTCGTTACGTTACGTACTAGAAATACGCACTGCGTATTAGTCAGTTTCGTGAGAACGCAAACTTTGCGAAACTTCATTGCAATCGGTTACTTTTTTCTACCCACTGAGGCTGCTGTGACTTCACACGCTTACCTGTTCACCATTGTCTGCGTTGTTTAATTCGATATACTGTGTATGATGTCAGGATGTTGGTAACACGGTGAGAAGGATTTTGCATGAATCCAAGGGAACGATTTCTATGCGCTGTTCAACCCGCGCTGTCAGGCCGGATTTCGTTTGTCTTCGACGCATAAGCTTGGTGTTTGAATTACCGCATTTGCCAGCTTAATGCTTGTGAGCATTGACGTTTGAGCTTATGACATGCCGTTGTTTCTGGGGAAGTGACTCTATGAGTTTTTTTCTTTTTTAGAATGAATTATGCAGCCAGTACTTGGACGAATTTCGTTCAATTCTAGCCGCCCTACTGAAACTCGATCACTAGACGTTTCACTACCTCGTTCGGCGAAGCCAGCCTATGTTGGAGAGCACTTTACGTTTTTTGTTTACCAAAATACACTTTATACGAATGAACGCCTTTTACGCACTCCAATTTGATTAGTATCCGGCTTGATTGGATTGTTTATGCATCGCTTTGTTTCTATAATACTGCGATCTCAAGATGAAGTGCGCAAAACTCTAGTTTTTTGACAATGGACAACGGTACTGATAGTGCATCATGCGACATTTCTTGATGAGTTTGATATGCCATAGTGAAAATATCAGGTAAACAATGTCAAGAGTTCCAGTGCTTCGTGCTTCCCAAGTTACGTTCACGAATCAGATGATGCGTAGCTTGTGATTTTTCTCTTGCTTAGGCTGCCAGGATTATGACGTCCCGTAGTGATCGGAATGATTGCCTCTTTAAACGAAGGGGAACTAGGATAGCCTCATCCGAGATATTTGCCGTTTTCACACTAGAACTGCCTAAACAACGCTTACTCGGCTTCTGTTGGTTGTTTTATCGTTTAAAGCAGAATTTTTTAGCATCAAAACATTTGCAACTGCTTCTTAGCTGCTTACTGCTGTTTAATAAAAAGCAACGGGTGAACTGCATGTAAAACTTTGTTTTAAGTAGCTATAAAAGCACTTAAAATATAGTAAGAAAATATTTTGTGATCAAGCGGAGTGATCAGTTCCGTACAAGCCCATAATTCTGTATTTGGTCTTCAGGGAGGCTAATGTTTCAAACGTCCAAAATTGGCATGACGCACCACTCAAAACTGCGGTGTAGCACACATTTGGCGGTCCCAGGGTAGATATTTTAATCGAAGGGACGAAGTATTTTTTGCCTTGGCACACCAAATCATATGTTGTCTATGAGTCTGCATGGACTTATAGACTCAAGTGCCTTGGGTGAACACAAAGACAGTTGACAGCCAGGTCAGTGGAACATCTGCCCAAATGGTATTCAGAGTTGAAAACTAAAATTCCCTGCTCGACTTTTAGTGCGTTACTGTCGCTAGGAGACGACTGGCCAAAAGTCGGGAAGGCCCACCGGCATCGGGCCAAGGAAGGTAGACACGGCAACGGAAAACACGACCGTCAAAAGAACACACACCACAACGCACAGCAACACCATGCCAACGTAATCTCTCAAACTCAAAATAATTAAGTGGGTCAAAAGTACTGTGTCCATCAGGTACGGCTGCATAACCACATTTTACCCTTTTATCTATCGCGTCGCTAAACTCCATTCTTATGCATTCGACTATGTGTTCTAGGCTATGACTTCTTCCTTTCCATGTCCATTTTTCGGAAAAATTTGAACTATTATGCACCCAGGGCTGTGCATGTCCGTGTTTTGCGGCGGCGGGAGTCGATTGAAAAGCAGTTGCAAAACTTGCAGTGTCAGTAACTCCTGCTGCGTACGCCTGTTTTTAATTGATTTTTGTTCGCATGCAACCGCCCGCATGCTCTCTTACCGTACTCTGTTCCGACAAAATCAACGTACACCACGGTCAAGTGGCATCGAGTGTTCCAAATCAGTGCCGAAAGAGGGCAAAGTGACGGCTCAGTGCTTGTGTCAAACCAGTCAGTCCCACGGTAAATATCTAGCTATTTGTTGCCAGCAAGGATAGAAGCTCTAGAAGTTAGCGTTCTAGCCCCGCCTCCCCCCTGCATTGCAGGCAGGCCTTCCGACTACAACTATTTGTACCTCGTTTTTCTTCTATACGCCTGATCGAAACTCACCTGGCTGCCACAACAGCGAAGTAAACTGGCTCAATAAGTGGACGCAAGACTAGAAATTGCCATTCAGTTTGCGGTTAGGGACGGTTGAGTTTACTGTAGTAGTAGTAGTAGTAGTAGTAGTAGTAGTAGTAGTAGTAGTAGTAGTAGTAGTATTGATAGTAGGACTTAATGAGACCCCCAGAAATCTGCTTTGTTTTGGTCAAAATGCCCGCTCTCGGTGGGACAGAGACAACATGAGGGACTGTGGAATAACGTATGATTATGGGCAGCAGCGCATGGCTGAAAAGGATAAAGGAGACAGGAATAGCCACTTTTGGTAATGCTATTCTGCCCATTTTACGCGCCGCTGTGCGAATGCGGCACGACTTGAAAGAGAGTTCCACAGCACAGCGGAACGAGTGAGTTCCGTAAAGCAGTTGGTGTATTCCCCTCTACACTCGATTGCAACCGACAGGACAATGAGCCCCTGGCTCAATGATTAGGGCGTTCGACTCCTAACCAACAGGCTGTGAGTTCGACCTGCGGGGGTTGCAAACCTCGGCATTGGGTATGGCCGACTGATGGCGGCCAATAACCCAAAGGTGGACATTCCAGTCTCCCTTGTCTTGTCTACAATACTATTCTGCCTATATTACGCGCGGCCCCGGTGGAACTCGACAGAGAGAGAGAGAGATCCCCAAAGCACAATGGAACGTGTAAATTCCGTAATACAATCGGCGCACCATTCACGGATGATTGCCGAAATAAGTGCATAATGGTGTTTTGTTAGATTAAATAATGTAAGAGTCCTCAAAGAGTGAATTTTTATGAAATTGTTAAGACAGGCCCTAATTCAGATGACAAAAAGGCATGCTTTGCTAAGAGGGATGTTGGTGAGCACTGAAAATAATTTGAAGAAGAAGAAGAAGAATCGAGCACCGGAACAATTCGTTTATTATCCTGAGCTTTCAGACTCGTACAGGAGTCCTGTACGAGTCTGAAAGCTCAGGATAATAAACGAATTGTTCAGGTGCTCGATTCTTCTTCTTCTTCAAATATGTATACACCTGGAACTCGAAATTTCGCCTTCATTACTGAAAATAATCTCAGTAAAGTAGTCATAAAAGTGCCAATTTGAAAGCCCAACTTACGATAAACGCCTAACACGTGGGACCGCCGCTGATGATGGTCTCCAGAAAAGAAATTATATCGGTGCAATTCTCAGTTAAATCTGGACAGATTTTGCTGCGCAGAAATTTTCTTTAATAATTTAAACAAACTGCCCCCAAGCGATCATGGGCATTTAGGGCTCAAATCACTGTTGGATCAAAGGATATTTCCTCAAGTCGCAACGTATTCAAAAAGGCCCTTTTTCACCGACCGTATCCCTGAAATCGCGTTAACTCTCACGAAGGGTTGTGCCGTTTGGCAGTTCTATTTCACTACCAAAAACCTCTTTATCCCGCCTCTCTGAAATTGTAGGACCCATGCAATCAGCACGTTCAAGAAGACTGCGAACGGTATGCGAGTGATGCTCTGTGAAAAGGTTTCCTGGCTTCCGTTGTTTTCCCAATAGTGTGTGTGCGTTGCGTCTGATCTATGGGGTTATTACCTTAGGTCATACTCCCCTAGCGCGAGTAAAGTAAGGCTAATATTACTTCCTTCTTTGTTAGTAACTTGGAATACAAAAATTACGGCAGTAAACTAGACCACTGAACTTTCACCCACCCCCCCCCACAGTTGCGTGGCGCCTGTTTAAAGCCTACTATGCAGCAGAACGTTTGACTGTACGCCTCTGCCCATAAGCAGTCGGTCATCCTAGTTGTTAGCGCCTTTTTTCCAAAGCCGTTGCACGCCCAAGAACAGATTTATACATCATAGAGTGCCTGGAAGTTGCAGTAAGTTGTGACATCATAAAGGATAATTTAACTACTTTCTGCAGACTGTGCGAGCAAGTTGCATTACTCTCATATTAAATTACTTGTGCGTTAAGTCGAACGCGAGGGTTTGCTTTGAGCAAGTTCTGAAATCCCAGAGAAACAAAGCACACAAATGTGTTGTCACATGCGCGCTCTGTGTGGTGCATTTTACGTAAAATGAGGGGGGGGGGCGGCGAAAAGAGAACCTCACTGGATGTTTTCGCGACAGCAACTGCCAGAGAAGCCTGCTGCACTTAAAACGGGTTATTTCAGGTTCACTCTGAGTTTCATGGATTATTACGGTGCTACTAGGAGGTAGTTATTGCTATGCTAAAAAAATTAGCACATGATTTAGCGACTCTATCCAGGCTATACAGTAGACTGATTCAAAAAAACTGGCAAAAAAGAAGCGGAGTTTTAATCACAGATATCTGATTGGATAAGCGCATCTGCGAATCCAAAGTGTCGCTTCTAAGAACACCTGCGAGATAAGTGGACAAAGTTATTGGCCTAGATTTTGGACATCTCCTTGATTAAACTGTCTAAAGTCCAACTTTCTGCAAAGTTAGGGAGTCGATGGCACCTTGCCACAATTTATTTTCGATTACTCATCATCAGGCTTGTACATTTATATAAGGGAGGGCAAAGGTGCAAAAGTTAAACAGCCAATTAAAGTCAGTATGGGAAGAGAGAGAGAGTTGAGGGGCGTTCTGAGGTCGGGGGTCAGAGTCTAGTTATGCCCGGGGTTTAGGGAGGGAAAGAGGGAGGTGCCTGGCAATGAGCTGTCCCTGTTTCATCGCTGCAACGCGACGTGGCGGATGTACACCCCATATGCTGGGCTTGTCTTTGCTCAGGGGAGCACCGGCGCTTGTATAAACACTTTATGCAAGTATACGTTTTCAATTTTTTATCATCAGGCCAATGCACTTTATTGTACCCTCTCAGAGATGCACGTCTGCTTTCTTGGTTGCAATTGTTTGTGGCCGGGGTTTGAACTGGAAGAAATTGCCGGATCTTTGCCGATGGGGCTCTGCCAATGGTGGAGCCTTTGGTTATATTATAAGGTTTAAAATACAGATTGGTGGAGGCCGTGATGGTTAAACTCGGAAAATATACATAATGGACGGTCGTATCTTGTGGAACGTTGGCCGAAATACTACACTGTGTTTCCGACTGGAAAATATCGCTTATTTAGTGTTGTAATCTTAATTATCGTCGCGTCAGGATGCCGGCACTTGAACGGTTGTGTTTTCGGCTGCCCCCAGGGATGGGACTCTGTAAAAATTACTATTTAAGTAGTATAAACCTTCTCCTTGATTTTTGATACCCCTGTAAATTCAACTGTATCTTTTAA